CGTCTGTCTAGTGCTCCGTCTTGTCTGCCCGCCACATGCCCACGAGAGTGAGGTCCTCCCTCTAGACGGTCACGACAATGTGACCACCACGTGTTGCGTACCGACCGCTTGCGCGGGAGGGGTCTAGACGGCCCTCAAGTTCACTGATAGTTCAATTCTCCGCCCATGTTAGGAGTTCCCGATTTCTCGCACTCGCTATGCAAGTGTGTTGTGTGTTCAATGTCTAATGGCTAAGAGATGATGACGACGGGCTAATGAATGACAATGACGGGTAATTAGAGTTGATTCAAATCAGACAAAGGGTAATTAGATTTGATTCAAATCACACAAAGAGCGCAAATTTTAGTACTTGTTAAATGTGGGAATAATTTGAATTGCCATAAGCGAATCGGTTACGCCATTTCAAACTATTCCCAGGTTTCCAATTACACCAACTCCAAATTGACAGTATAAAATGATCTTTCAATGAACCACAGCTTCATCATTTGTTTCCACTCCCACACTTGTCGATGTGACTGTAAGAGAGATCAGCTGAGAATTCGTAAGGAGAGAGAAGTTGTCCTCTGGATGTCTTCATTATTTGTTCCCACTCCCACACTAGTCGATGTGACTGTCCGAAAGATCATATCTGAATTTTTAAGGAGAGAGAAGTTGTTCTCTCGTTGTCTGAGCTCTTTATGATCATTAACTGGTCGTTAGTGTTTCCATTCTTCTCTCGTCCAGCCTTATGCGCACAACAATTTTCCGAGGATATTCTTATCATGAAGCAAAAAGGTGCACTACAAATCCGCCTTGCAATTGTGCAGGAAAGGAAAATGGCAAGTCGGAAGATACGCTCTAGTATAAGATGGAAACATCGTGACGCACAAGTCACCCGCACATTTTTTAGAGCGGTGCGTGAGTGCGGCTCATTGGCTCGGATCAATGCCCTCCATGGTCAAGCTAGAAAGCGACTCATCAACCGAGACTCCATCAAAGCCCGAACTCTATCTTACTACCAGGAGCTCCACGCTACTCCGTCGCCAATGGCTCGTCACCAAGTGGCCGAAGATGCCCTCCTTGGACTCAGTCTAGCATCTTTCAGCTCCAAATTCCCGCTTGCCACCCTCAAAGAGCTAGGCAAATTTCCAGAAGAACCGGTTCACGAAGAAAAAGTGACTTTCTTGTCGTCACAATACATTTTTGATGTCGTCCTAGTCCAAAACAAGACGGTTGCTTGGTCTCACAAATTGGATCAAAAGCTTATTATGTTGAAATTTGACTTTTGGAAGGCCTTTGACACTATGAGCTGGAACTTCATGTTCAATGTCATGACAAGAATGAACATCCCAACCACCTTAGTAAAGATGGTATAGACCCTGATGTCGAAGACCTCAACTGTCATCTTCATCAACGAACTCACCACAAAGATTTTCCCATCAGGCGAGGTATTCTGCAAAGATCCCTCCTCGCCCCCTTTTTGTTTCTAATCGTAGCAGAAGCTTTAACCACCATCATCAATCAAGAGCCATCTTCAAGAAGATTGCGAGGAATTTTGTTTCCAGATGACGCCACTCGACAAGTGCTTTTGCAATTTGCCGACGACACTACTTACTTCATTTTGGGAACAAAACGAAACTTACTTGTAGTTTCCAACTTATTGCACGACTTTGGCCTAGCCATGAGACTCATGATTAACATGGAGAAGTGCGCATTATATTGGCATGGTCAAGACATTTCACCGCTTTGGCTAAAAGGCTACGGCTGTGAGGTTGCCCCACCCAACTCACTCAAAAAATTACTCGGAACTCTATTTGGTATATTTCTTGCCACCAATGACGTTAACACTTTTCTTGCAACTAAGATCAACCGCAAGTTGAAATATTGGAGGAAGGTTCACTTGTTCCTAGTAGTCCGGGCTATATTTATGAGCTCCGTGCTTTTATCGTTGCTGTGATATTTCCTTAGTCTATGGAAAGTCTCAAAATCGATCATTAACACTATTCGACTATCACTCAAAAACTTCTTGTGCTCAAGAGCTTTGTCTGCTCTACTTGTAAAATGATGCCTCGAGTGTGATTGGGGGCAGAACCATTATGTCGCTAGTGAGAACACTCCAGATTTTGCGTAAGGTGAACAGATTGCTACGCAAACAAGCTTGTAGGAGGGCGGAAACTAATAGACCCCTAGGAAGCTTTGATCGCTCAAACAAACAAATAGATAGTTTGCGCACTTATTCTAAGTGATGCATCGATGAACATTTTCCTGCATCACCGACTTAAGAAGCTTTACCCACCAAACTCATGCAATTGGCCTGGAAGCCTCCAATGGACATTCCTAACCTGGTTCTCTTCACCTCGAGGATCTACTATTTAGAAACGCATGTCGCAAGTGTGGCAAAAAACCAGCTTACTGTTTGAGCCGGTCCAACCATTGAATGCAGATGAAGTGTTACTCTCTCAGCTTTGATAAACAAATCACTTTGTGAGATCCAATTTTGAATCTACGGAATGTCGGGCACACATCTTGGACAATTGTGGCCTCTAGAGGCTTCTAGAGCTTTGCAAGGATCAGAGTTTCATTCCTTGTCCATGGTCAAAGTTCAGATCCAATATAGACAACTGGCCACCAAACAATATGCCAAACTGTTGACTTGTAGTGGCTTGTCATCTTTCACGGCCAGCCCTCAAAGAACCTGATTTTTATCATTCAAGCCACTAAAAACTTTCTGCCTCCCATTCTCACAGATGTGTCCGCCATTGTCATTCCAGCCAAGTATCCCAGGTACTATATAGGCTCAAGGTCAATACGTTTATTCTGTGTTCATTCCCTCGACCGAAGATCAAGTCGGTCGGGGCAACCTTCTGCAAATTAGAGTTAACATCATCCCGTGCCACCCTTAACAATGCGCGACCTCTCGTCAATACTACCTAGCTCCATTGTGTAGGATGGTGTTTTACCCTAATCAATGAAGTTGGCATGGCGACGATCCACTTTACTCCTGCACAGCAAAAAAGGTATGACTCATGCATCACCCACGAACTCACATGTCTTTGACCTTTCAAGAGAAATGGACATGTATTTTGTCGGCTACATTCACCCCGGAATGAAAAGATGTGTGGACAAGCGCTCATTTGCGAAAAGAAGCGGCTTTCCTATAAAGTATATATCATTGAGCAGTTGCAGTGAACTAGTGGCGTCGCCGCGCATTTGCACAGGCTTCTGAATTGTGTTCCGGTTGTGATTTACGTGAATCGGAATCGATACTCCATTGCTTTTTTACATGCATGAAGGCCGAGCATGCATTGAACTATGCCATGACCGTGCTACACATGGCGGCTCAGACTCCTGCTAATTGTATGCCGTGACCCACCCTCTTATGGAAGCAGTGCATCTTTGGAGTTGAACTTCCTTTGCCGTTACAAACACTAGCGCAACGTGTACACTTGTTAGGTGCGCGGTACTGTGGATGATATGAATTCAGCAGAACCAACTCATCTTTCACAATCACATGTGACCCACGGCTTTTCTAGAGCAACTGATTTGGGATGCGATCATTGACTTGGCATGAACTGCATTTGCCGAAATCACATGGTGCAAGAGACATCGGCCACAAGGAGTGCCCAAGACCACCCACAAGTTTCGCTACATGTGGGATCACGGAGGATATTTTTCACTTGGCTCAATGCCCAGGTAGTCTAGAACTACAAGATACCAACACTTGCTTTGTTTTGTCCTAAGTAATTTGGTAATCTCCATGTGCTTATTAGATAAAAACAACAAAATCGGTATAGCCCAACTTGCCATAGCTTGCTCGGTTTTGCAGTGGTGTTTTGATCAAACTTCTAGTGGAATAAAATCTCCATTTGCTTCAAAAATAAAAAATAAAAAATAAAAAATTTTCACATACAATTTTGCAATCTTGAATTCAAATGATTTTCATTAATATACTGAAAATTTCATATCAAATGAGCAAATCTACTTTTGATTAAATTTTTTCAAAACATTTGTGGATTTAAAATTTACAATTCTAACTTTGGGTAATCACACTTCTCACCATTAGATTTAATGTGGGCTTTTGACATACAAGGTTTATAATTCACAAACTCCATTTACATCAATAGCTTGAAAGAGATTTTGCACTTAAACTGAATCCATTTGGAATTTGCAAGGGTTCTATTTCCTGACATAGCTTACTACTTCATGACCTCAGATCTAAATCTACAAAATTGCATTTCAAAATATCTGTAAAAAAAAACTCTTCTAATTTGAATCTTAATTGCGCTGAGGACTTTAATTTTTGCATATGCTGACACTCTGCACACCTTTTTAGGTATGGATGTGGGTGTATTATATATTTGTGTCAAATTTGTTCAATATATGCATAACAAAAATGTAATATATTATACACTGCAAGCATACCTACCTGTAGTTCCGACAGAGCGTAGCGAATATATGAGAATGTGGAGAGTAATCTCTCTCAACGTAATATAGATTAGGATTATGTGCATAGTCAATGATCACCATTTGTTGACTAATCAGCAGATCAACTTCTAAAAGTAAGGAGATAATTTTGAGTGAATTGTGCACTCCTCTATTGTGCCCGATCTTTTTGACACTTCAGAGTAGATAGTTTTGCGATAGAATTCCAAGGATGGGTCTAAATTGTCCAATGTGATTGTTCGAAGCTGCAGATTTAGATCACCATTTTGGATTATTTCGCAGCATGATGTACCGTGAACAGGAAATTATTAACCGGCACCGGGGCACAGGCATATGCGTATGATTAATTAAGCACAGGTCTATAAGTTATATTTATTAAAATTAGTAAATACACAAACTATCCGCTAGAAGTGTACCCTCTCATTCTCCCTCGGCGGGATATTTCCTTGGCTTTGTATTCTGTCGATAGCTTAGCCATCGCTCTTGAACCCGAAGAGTGCCCTTATCTACCAGTACAAGTCAGAGTAGTTGTAATCCCAACCTCCCCGCGCTTCGTAATGACACCTGCTCATAATGTGTAATAAAGAATTGAGATTTGCGCGTATAAAATAATTCGGAGCACGTCGAGTTTGCATCTGATGTCAAGAACAGAAGAACTTGCGCATGGATTAAATCCATCCCGAAATCCCGTCCAATATTCACACTGGTCGAGCACTTGGGCGCTGTAGGAGAAGCGGTGAAGGCGCATCGCAGCCCCGTACACGGGGATATGTCACGGTGAGCTTAAAGAAGCTGAAACTCGTGAAACAGAAATGCGGTGGTGAGTGTCGACAGAACTCTTCGAAAACTGATCGGGTGGCCCAATCACGGGTGAGGGTTGAGCGAGGGCACGCTCACAGGTCAGGAAGTACCAGGTTTATGCAACCTGGTGGCAGAGGCAGTTATGACGAGGGAAGAAGAGGGCGTGGCGCAAGAAGGGAGGCATGAATGATGAGAAACTGAGATGGATGATGAAATACAATGCTCGGATGACCGTCACTACTGCGTTACATCCGATTGACCGATTGTGTCCATGGCCGATACATCCTAAGAAGAATTATCTCCTGCGCAGCTCTGTACCCCATGGCCAGTGGGTCTCCGATCTCGACTTCTCAACTCCTCCTCCATCACCAGCCTGGCCTATCAACTTCCTCGTCTGCCGCTGGGGCGACAGCTTCTCCATCACCTGCATCTCCCACAGTTTCTTCGAAACGAAAGCGACGCCTCACCGATCTCACCACCGATGAGGTCAGTGTCATCTAATGTGGCAAATTAACGACTCTTTGCGTCGCGCTGTTAAGCATGAAAAGCCGGGAGGTGGAAATCCCTCATAAATAACACATCCCTCATATCATGAAGTTTCGAAATTCTTCACACAACCGTAATACGAACACTACCACTACCATACACTTCGAGCTGAGAGTGACGAACGAAACAGAACAACCCTTTTTTTCCGGTCCTTTCTTGATTTAGGGTTTCGTAACCACAGCTTTCTAATCAGGGTACGCCTGATATCTTAAACCCTAAAGGATGTTAGGAAAACGCATTTTGATTGAAAGAAAGTATCAAGTTGATACCCTTCTTCCGTGAGTCAATTTGGATCACTGGTCTGACCTTACACATGTCATCGCCTTAACTGTGTATGAACTGGTACTGTGTGTGTCCTGACGGTGACAGCGAAGTTACCGTATTCGGTACATATTTCTTCTAGCACATCTTCGGAATCATGCTTGTTCGTGTCTGCCTTAGTTGATCCGACTGGGACGAATATGTTCAAGTAGATTCTACCTTTTTCTTATCAGCACATGTGTGAAGTAGACAAGCATGCCATCGATAAAGCTCAGAGCTCCAGGAGCAAGAATTATGTCGCACCGGAAAGTGCAAAGTTTCGCCAGTGAGTAGGCTCTGGGATGTGCCTGTTTGCATGAATAAGGAATTGAAGGTGTTTCGTCGTAAAGGAATACATGTACACCTGTATCCTGTTTAAATAGCGTTTGAAGTATATGCCCGCGAAACACTTGGGGGCCTGAGGGTTAAGGTTTCTTATTTCATTTGTCCTTCTTGTGGCTAGATCAATGAAATCGTCGCTTTGAGAGGTAAACTACCTCAAGCAGTTGTTGGAAAAAAATTCGGAATTGAGCAAACTGAGGTGAGCGCAATACAACGAATGCAGCGCGCCAAAACAGCTCGTCTTCTTGACGACAATGAAAAGAAGGTACGCAGTGGCTAGCATGGTGCAATTGCGCTGATTTTGAATCTTCTAGAATTTCTGTAACGAAGAACTGAAGTCTACATTGTAAATCCCAGTGCTTGAATACAAGTTTTTTGAAATTTTTTATTGTATTTTTTGTCCAAAAGTGGAGGGTACATGGACTCACACGGCGGGCCGTTCCACTTTGGAATTGACTGGGGTGAGCGGAGGGATTTTCTTTTGATTGTTTCAACAAAAGACTGAACGATGTCAGAAGTCGACATCGCTAAGTCTTCTGTTGTAATTATGGTGCAGCCACATTTGTGATCTTTATGCTGTGTTATAGAGGGTTCAATAGATATTGTCTTTCCTGTATGGTATTAACTGCAATAAGGGTAGTTTCTTTTTAGAATCGTCTGAGTTTAGAGAACCTCAATTAATTTCGATATGCTCAAAAGAACGGACCATTTGTTTGGACGAAGTGTTTCACAAGACAAGTTACAGTCTGGTTTCTTGGCCATAACTGCCTGCGAGATCGAACTAATGGTCTTTGTTTATGCACATGATGCTTTTCACGTTCTTTAAATGTATGCTCGTCAGGCTGTATCGGGAAAATACTAAAGAGGACAGTTCGTGTGAACTTTCTGGGTTATTTGATTGAATTCTATTAACTTGTTGGAGTGAGAACAGAATCCTGTTCGAAGGGTGAAAGATGTGGAGATGACAGTTCCAATTGCTTATGGGACAGTTTCTTTCTGGCTTGGAAAGAAGGCTGATGAGTAAGTTTTGCAGATTCCATCACACCTTCATATTGATCATGCCTATTGAGGAAGCTGACTTTCTCCATTCTTTCCACGTTTGTCTCTTTTTTCCTTTTCTTGACTACTCCCTCAAAACCTATGCTTCAGCCTTGAAGAAACATATTTTAGGGTTAAAATCAGATGGTTACGGGAAGTCTTTGGATCATGTAATCTTCATATCAGAGCGTTGCAATCTGCTTAGCATCATACGTTTGAACGTTTAGAAAGTTTTCCATTTATTGTTTTCGTTCTTCTCGGACCTCATGATGATGGCCTTCTGAGTCCCTAAGGCATCTTCGTTCAAGGTGAAGTTTGTCATTTATGGGGGTAGTTCATGACCTGAATATATCTTATGGAGTGTGAAGTTTCCTCAAGTTCACAGTTTGTTTGTTTTGCAGATATCACTCACATAGATGGACAGTTTACGTACGCAGTGCGCTTGGTGAGGACCTCGGTCCAGTGATAAAGAAAGTTGTGTTCCAGTTACATCCCAGTTTCAACAATCCAACAAGATCCGTAGAGGCCGCTCCCTTTGAGCTCACAGAGACTGGATGGGGAGAATTCGAAATTGGCATAACTGTTTATTTTCATCCGGATGCATCAGAAAAGCCGTTGGAGATGTATGTACCTCTTCAGTTACTGTTATTGCGTTTTAGTTTGTAATTTGATTCTTGAACATTTAGTATGTAGCCACGTGCTTTATCTCACATCTGACAGAGACATGGGACATGGGACAAAGAAACCTAATCAGTGGCCTCGTTCGTTTTTAATGTATCGCAATTTCCGAATGGTGCAGATTTCATCATTTGAAGCTGTATCCAGAGGATGACTCAGGGCCACAAAATACGAAGAAGCCGGTGGTTGTAGAGTCCTATGATGAGATTGTCTTCACAGAACCGTCGGAGGCATTTTTTTCCCGCATTCAGAAACATCCTTCTCTTTTTTTGAATGGAAAGCAGAATCCTCCTTCAGCTGGTAAGCTCACAGATTGGAATTTTGATATGGACGTTGAAGCTTATTGTCTTCGGAATATTGACGTAGTATCAATGAGTACGATTGACGTACAAGCTATCTAACTTGAAGAAAACTTTTCATCTCAGGAAGAGAAGATGTGTGTGGTTGTCTGCATAACTTGTAGTATATGATTTAAGGCGGTGATTAGCAGCTAAGTTTTATTTATGTTGTGCCAGGTACAGAGAATGAGAAAAAGAGAGGTGAAACGAAGGAGCAGAATATCACGCAATGGTTTCTCAAGCATTCTGATTCTGAAGAATTAGAAGCAATCATATCGGCTCGGGATAATGTACGCATTGCTTGTAAAGTTTTCTGCTTGTTTTAAGAGTTTAGAGATATCACCAAGAACCACCTTATTACGCGTAATTAATGGGCTCTTACTTATACCTCTAACTCTATACAAACCTTACTGATACCGGTTATGGTCTGATAAAAGTCATTCTTCATCCTTTCAGAGAAGTTCTTAAAGTCTAGGTCCTCAGTTACTCTCTAGTCTTATCTACGTTCGGGTAGTTTTATGTCTTTCTCCAGGGATTCGTAGAGATGCTGAGCTTTTACCTGAAATCAACTTGCATCATTGCTGCTATCTTGTTTGTACAGGTGATGACTCGAGTGAACAAGTTGAAAGCAGACCTACTTCAGCTTGAAAATGAGGCGGCAAGATTGAAAGCAAATGCAGCACACTGAATTGTCTCGTGCACGGTTTACCAGTCCATTTTCAGTTATCCTGGTGTGACGTTGCCTTAACGGTAAATATTGGTCACTGACAAACTTTTTTGCCCTATCATTGTAACTTTGCACTTGAATTTCCAGGATATTCTGTCCTGTTAAAGAGGTGGTCTTTTTCCTATGAACGTTGTCAAAAGTTTACAAGTTGAAGGGTCTGACATGATTGTCTTTGTCAGGATCTTTACCGGCTTGAAGCCTATTGTTCAAACACCTCGAGCCACACTACAGATAGGAATTGCTCAAACTTCTCAGCATCTATTAGGTGCGATGGTCGTTCTCCGGGCATTCACAGATGTCGGCGATAATGGGTTCTGTATGATGACCATCAGACAATTAGCTATTTGGAAACACTGGTGATGTGAGGTTGGTAGCTGCTTGAGTTCTCAAGGCTCGGTTGAATGAGGCTGGATGGCATAGGCTCCCGGTTACAGTTGTAAAGTGTATATTATACTCAAAGAAATCGATGAAATTTTTGTCTGAAGCACTGCGTTGATGTGAAGTGCTTTTATTCATTTGATATTTCTCGGGGTAGTTTTTTGTTTTTTTCCCATTTTATTTAGTACTCGTCTCTCCTCTGCCTCATCAATTAATTTGTTTTCTTCTCTTTATCCTGAACATTTGTTGTTCTTACCTTTAGTGCTGGCACAAAGAGTGAGGACTGATTGTTTAGAAATAAGTTCCACAATCTATTTTCCAAATCCTGATACCGTCCGAATTAAGTAAACCGATAACTTTTCAACTCATACAAGAATATCTAATAGCAGGGTCTTCACTTGGTTCTAGTCTTGCCTGATACTTGTTTTTAACTTCTAGTCGGCAGCTCAATCCCGAAGCTCATATAATCTGAACAGTGGAAGGAGTAGAAGCCTATGTAGGAGTATTTAGTACAGAATCAGGACGGAGGCTTTCAGGGATGTGTGAGATACGGGGAGGGGTTACTAGCCTGGCTAAGGGCTATGCCGACCGGTCCTGCACGATAGAAGTCACAAGATATTGAAGATGAAAACATAGGATGCTTGAACCTAAAGTATGATGGTCTTCACGTCCTATGATAGGTTGTAGCTGGAAACATTTACTGATACAGGAAGCACTGTATGTCAACTGGCACTCGTTGGGCATGTTTCCTTGGAGTCGTTTGGTATGTCCCACTGACATGAAAGGACCAACGTAGGTCATGAATTCTGCCTGAGTAGCTATCCATCCTCTTGTGGTGGACTCACGTGGTGTTTTTCGAATCTTCGTACGTCACTATACAGCATCAGGCAGAGAAAATTACGTGGTATAAGCGAAAGGATCAAGACAATCGTTCACGTAGATCTTATGTCTAGGCACCTGCAAACGTTGGTAACAATAAGCACCAAATCTGTCTCAAAGGTCAGTACATGCAAATTGCTCTTGTCAAGTACGTGTTTGGAAGGAATCGTACAGGTAAATGTGCTTCGGAAGGCATTCGCCTAGTCGATCGTTCTGGCGGCTTGGAGTAGGGACCACTGCGATATCTGGCCCCAGATGAAGGAGAATGCTATTTAGAGGGAGAATCCGGACAGATCCGAAAGCCGTGTACATTCTCTCTGTGGCAGGCGATTTGTAGCTTCGTGAACTATTTCAGCCCTGAACCATTGTGATTTGCAGCCTTCTAAGCGAGCACTTTATTACTTTCACTTCCATGCTGGCCAGGGGATTAGTTTCTAGGAAAATTCTGTTTGAAAGCTTTTGATAGAGGATCGCAGTGGTACACATAGGATCAAAATCAATTTATAATCACGAATCATTGATCAGAAAAGTTCCGCTCTTCAAAATGGCAACAACGGTATCGTAATCTGCGGCTCTGCTAATGGGAATATGCCCTGCCACGTGGAATCCGCTACAAGTTTTAAGTTTCAGGGCATTTCAAACCTAGTGTGTACAAACCATGTGGTAAGTCAGTCAGTTCAGTCCAGTTCAGTTCAGTTCAATTCACGGCTCTCAACTTCCATCAGCTAATTCCATGGCAACACGTCCGCGCGAGAGTGATACCCTTTGGATTCTCCCTCAGTAGAAAAAGCATCAGAAGCCAATCGCACAGAGTACAGTATATTGTTCACCTTCTCTCGAGTGTTGCTCACCACTAACGGTCGTGAAGGTTTCGTCAGACCGTCTCGATCGACGACCGAGACTGCACAACACTCGGTGAGAGATCATGGGGACGTGTCCGAACGTCGAGACTCGGGTTCTCGTCTCATGAAGTGCCCCTAAACTCAAGCAACGTTGTCCGCCTAGTCCTCCACGTGGCAGCCAAACGCCGACCGAGAGAAGAACCCTCGAAGTACTGTTCGTACTCCCGCCTCTCCGAGAGCGACAAGTCTCGAATCGAGATGCGCTGCCGGAAAGACAGCACTCGATGGGGCAGCAGCAGCAGAAGTATTCAGAGAAGACTTTTGGCGACGTACATGGCCTAGAAACAGATCTGGAGCGAGGGAGCCTTCCTCGGGGAGGTCTCTTCCTGTCCTGTGTCTGGATCGACGTACTGGTTCTTCATCACAGTACAAGACACTGTCCGACTCAAAATCAGAACATGATTCGAATCTATGGAAAATCAGCCCCATCGTCTTGAGCTCGTACATCTGTGTCATGCCTTTCTTTTGAGAATACCCCCAGGAATGATGCCGGGATTCCATGCGTGAAATATTTGCTCTTGAAAGAACGTAAGATGTATTTAGTTTGATCATTGTTTTTATGCGTATAATTTACTTTTACGTACATGAGATTGTTTTATTTTGGAATAACTCATCTGTTTCTATTTTTTTGGTTATATATTTTCGTTTTACGTAACATTGACATTATTATTCTTATTCGCATATACTTATCGCATGATGCGACGTACATCGATTTATTATTTTGATAATAGCAACCTAAGTAATTAAATTTTATTTTTTTTGCTGGTATGGCTACTGAATCAAATAGCCATACCAGTGATCGAGACCCGATTCAATGCATCTATGGAAGGCGCGATGAGAAGATTCATATTTTATAATATCCACCTGCCAAAGATTCACTTTCTAAAGCTGCTTCGTCGTCACCTTCCTCGTCTCGGACTCGAAGTCGAGAGCCCCGAGACTACTGCGAAGGAGACCCGGTGCGGGTGCGGACTATGCCTCGGTGACTGTGCAGGTGACTGTGGAAGGACTGCGTAGGGTAGGTTCCGTAGTTTAGGGGTCAGGTGCACGGGACGAAGGGGAGCATGCTTGCGTGCCCGTGAGCCCGTGCCTCCTTGTCCGTCAGGACACAGTTCATTCAAAGCAAGGCGTCGCAAGGCTGCCTCAGCTGCTGCTGCTCCTCCTCCTCCTCCTCCCGAGAGTGTGAATTTCACTTCTCCACTCGCACATTGGTCGCTGCAGATCGAGTACGCATCGTCGTAGCCCGAGACTCTGTTGCTCTTGCCAGTTCTGAATGAATGTGCTGCGAATTGCGCATGTTTTCCTCGTTTGATTGAGTTCAGGTTGTCTCGGTGTGATTCGAGTCGGAGTGAAGTGGACGTGAGTCGTAGGACAATGGCTATGCATGCCAGGGTTACTGATTCTTGCATGTCTTGGTGATCAGATCGATGGTGCAGTGGTTACGATGTTTTCGGTCTGTTGAACTTGGATTGCTAGCTCTGGCATTGCTTCTGAAGCGTTATCTTCCGAATTCTGGTTGTGATTTTGCAGGTTAATTCAAAGTTGCGGCAATGGCCTTCACAGAGCACGTGTTGCAGGGTGCTCTTTCTAGTCGGATTTGTGAAAGTGCAGTATGTGCTTCCGGCAATTTGAAAAGTTGTGGCTGCTCATGCAAACTCACGAGCGGATCTCATGTCGTGAGATGCAAATCAAGTTCGGGAATGGAATTTGCGAAGGTAGCTGAAATCCAGCGGTCACCTCTAGTGAGAACTCTGGCAATTGTTCCAGGTAAGTTTTATGTTGATTCGTCAATTTTCTGTCCGTGCATAGCGTGAGTCCGAGCGGAATTTTTAGAGTGAACTTTCATCCTCTGGTAGTCTAGGACATTTCTCGATTATGGGAAGGCTTTCGATTCTCCTGTTGTGAAACTCGCCCAATGTAAGTTGTCTTGTCTAGGGTCCTGATCTGATGCATTCGCAACTCCACCAGCTTGCACAATACAATATGTAGCGACGCCAGTTTCTCACATTTGCAAATTGGGGAGCCCGGCATGTGCAGACTGTCTCGCGGATTAACATTTGTTCTTGGAAGTCGTACACCTGAAGTTTGATGACTCATTTGAAGAAAAATTCCGATAACCTGCATTTTGATCGTTTGCTGACTATATAATTTCTATGCAATTTAAGGATTGCGGAATTAAAATGGCGGAGTGGAATCCTGTTGACTCAGGAGACAAGGAGGTGTTTTGTACTGGCTACGTTAATTAAGAAATTTTCATGCATCACATGTCACCTCTATCGTCCACTGACTGAGTGTTAACCCTTTCCTGGTTTGGAAACTTACACTTAAGCTCGCCTGTCTTGTGTATGGTACAGTTTCTTCACAATTAAAGGCAAAAGGTAGCGCAGGTTCCTCGGACGCTAACGAGCAAAAAAACTTCAAACAGCGGAAGTCGAATGACAGACGCAGTTTTATCGGGAAAATGACTTCCTTGAGTCTTTTCAGTATCTCTCTGGGACCAGTATTTTGTGAGTCAGCAGGTGCTGCCTCGAATTTCTGGAATGGAAGTGAAGGAAATGGAGGAAATACAGCGAAAGTAGTAAAGAAAAAGCCTGTACTTATCACACTAGCAGCGTATGCTGTCACCAAAGTCGCTTACGAAAAGGTGCGAATTCATTACTCGCTCACACGAGGTGGTGTTACCTACGATATTTTGTCCTTCTCAGTGCTGTCGTGTGCACTCGCAAAGTTACTTCAGACTTGAACTTTCAGGATGAGTGATGTAAATAGCAGCATGCTAATTGAGTTATTCTCTTTAGGGTGAGTTTTCCTCTTTGTTTTCTAGGAGTTACGTGGGAGATTTGCATTTACTTGATCTATTTTGAATATGATCGAAGATGCATCAACATGAACTTCAGTCATTCTCCGATGTCTCTTTCGAATCAGCAGTTATTTTTGAAGAAGGTTTGACACAAACTGAACATTTTGTTGCTGTGAGCAGATCACACATCTTTTCGCGGAGCATTGGCTCAAAGAACATGGGCAGGAGGTGAAATTTCGACTAAGTCTAGGTACGATTCTTTCTACAGAATTCAAAACACCACTTAGTGTAAGGCACTGAAGATCACTTTACTATTGAGTAGATTTTTCTCCAAAGTGGAACTTGTCGAGGCCAGTAAATATGGTGAATTACAGTTTGTAGGAAGTTTACTTTTTATCTTATGAGGAGAATACCGTTCTGAAGTAAGAACGTGACCTTCATCTCTAACTTTATAAACTTGGCACGTGATCTTAATATCTGCTAGTACGTCATCAGGTATCGTTCGTTTAATTTCATTGTGGACGTCGGTATGGTATTGCAGCTGGGAGTGGAGCTCAAGCTAGAGCAGTTATAGATGGACTGCCTGTAAGTATTTGTCCCTCAGCCACATATGGAGAATTAAATGCAAGCCGGACCCTGAGAGTTTGTATCATTGCATGTCTTACAAGTACATCCCTTTGTTCAAATTGATTTCTATTGGATTAAATTCCACCGCTCAGCCAGGGCACGGGGTCACACTCTTAAGCCTACAACATGCACATAGTACTGTGTACAGTGTATGAGATAGAAGAACAGGAAAGAAGCTTGTTAGAGGTTTTTTTGTCTACAGTTGTGCAAAGTTATGAAGATGTAGAAGTTTCTGGATCTGAGTTCCTATTGTGTGACTCGCAGGCAGATGTAGTGTCCCTGGCGCTTCCTCTAGATGTTCTCAAGATCGAGGAGGCTGGATTGATTGATTCTGATTGGCAAAAACGCGTAAGTAAATGATGGTTTGGACTGTTCATAGTGTGATGTCTGTAGTTGCATTTAGTCTTGCGTGAACATCTTTTTGAGATAAGTCTTTAGATATCTGATATCACCTAAAGGGTAATTTAAAGATTACCCCCGTTTTATAGGCAGCGTCCAAGGAGATGGATTGCTCAGATTCCCATGACAGATTTTTACTTTGTGTAATAACAAACAGCGGGCTTCTTATATCTTCAGATTTCTCTTGTCTGCACTGCTCACTACTTACATTCGTACAACTAACTATAGTTACTCCTAAGTTGGTTCATAACAAGTCCTATGAGTTGGAAGTCGTATTTGTATGCAAGTTGTATGTAATAACTTTTTATCACCACAGTTGGAATTATTTCGAACAGGATCCATATCCTTGCATGGTTCTGTTCTCTTTCTTCTCGCTGTTGATTGGAATTTACCTGTCAAGATTCTTCTGATGCCAAAGGTATGGTAGAGAGGTATAGGAATTAGTTTATTGAACTACCCAGCAGTTGCCCTACTTTCCAGTCGCTACTGTTGAAGTCCTACTATAGTAGGACCTCAACACTAGTGAAGACGACTATAGTAGGACACCAACTCAAGAGAGCGGTACTAGCTTTTACACAGCTCCTTCGACACCATGAGGAGCGCTTATCAACTCGTGGTATTTCCATATATATTTTGTCCTAGCTATGATAAAATTATTGACTTTCGGACATGTGCACGGGTTGTTGTGCACTAAGGAACTAGACCATTCGTATCCTTACGTGCTCAAATAGCCTGCCATACTGCGACCATTTCATTACGTTGTGGTTTAGAATCTGAATGCTAGTTGTGCTGTGGTCATTCGCTATGTCTCTGTGAGGTATTTCAACTTTACTAACTTTGTCAGTAGCAATGTGTAAGCTCAAATCACGATACGCCTGAATTTTTTTTCCGCCTTTGAGTTTGACAATGTAAGAGCAGTCTTTATGGGATTGTAATGATGTTTCATTACGGAATATGTTACCTCTACTTTGCCTACTAGTATCTAAGTAGAAATTGACTTTCATTGTGGATGATCAAGGGATTTCATTTTGCACTTCTGCTAAAGCCTCATAAGATGGTGGTAAAAAGTTACCAACTTGATTTCTCTTTTCTAAAATATAACCCTTAAAGTTTTACAGTAGAAATTTGGTATTGTGGAATGTATGTACCCATGTAATTACTGAGGTCAAGAGCATCTATTTACGTCGTCTGCCCCTGAAATTAGTAAGTAGATCGGTTCATACGTCACAAAGTAGGGATATCCTACCCTTATTGATAGGGATAAGGGTAGGTATATTGCATGTAATATCATGACCAACATATTGTATCCTACACCTGTTTCGTCTGTTAGTTTGAAGATGACTGAAGGTGATCACTAGAATACAGAACTTGTATGTATGACGGCTCCCGATCCTGTGTTGTGTTTTGTAGGTGCCAAACAATGCCGTACCTGCGGAAACAACGGTTTGCATCGTGACAAGGCCTGGCAACCCTAAGAATATTACAGATTGGCAAGACCTCGCAAGGTACCTAGCACTATTAAGAAGAAACTCACACAGCATGGATAGAAATCAATGACACACTCAGGTTTCCTTTCTAAGTCTATCTGTTTCCCTCTACATGGGTTTTTTCATAATCTACAGACTCTGAAAAACCTCATACAATCATACATTTTTCTCTTAAGTTCGTAGCAGCCAAATTGATTCAGAGGCTTTTGCAGCTACATTTGGGTTCGTTGATCACTTCAAGGATCACAATATCCCATGGAAGAGAAAGGGCAGAGAAAATAAATTGCTGTCATGAAGACGAACGACTTTATGCATCCAATTCCTCTTCATTACAGCGATCTTCATTCTCTCCCTTGTAGTCGTAGTTTGCACGAATTGCGTATCTGATGTTTGATGAAAGGAATTAATTTCCTCCGCTTCTTGTATAGGAGCGACGTGTCATGTTTGACAGCAAATCCAAAAACCGCTGGAGTTGCTCGATGGAATTTCCTTGCTCTGTGGGGCTCTGTCACTGTCGAAGGAGGAAGTGAGTCCCTTAAATTTTTCTTAGTTATGACTGTAGTACGGGTGCTCGTTTGAACATGCAGACGAAGTGATCCTGATGCTAGATTGCTTGGTATACTTGTATGAACGCAGGCGAAGAAGAAGCACAAACCCTCATTGAGAATGTGTTTAGGAATGTGCCTGTAGAACCACGCGACGCCCGTGAGGTATATGCCTTTCCTCCACTCAAATTATACTGGACTCTCATCTTATGACGCGAGATATACAACCGACGTATTTCAAGACCTCAAGTTTTAGTGTTCTGCATGCGATACACACATAGCTTTTGTTTTTAGTGTTCAGACAAGTCTCTAGATCATATATTTTGCTTGATACAAACTAACTAAATTGTTTCGATTTTTTTTAATCTTTTGAACCTCCAGGCTTTGTTCTAAACGCTGATGTTCAAAAGGAGCCATTCTTATACCTACACTTATGATTGGCAGGTCTCAGATGTGTTTTATAAACAAGGACTGGGAGATGCGATGATCACTTATGAAAATGAAATTGTCCTCACGAATGAGAAGATTGTTGAGGTGTGTTTTATCAGTAAGAATTATGTTTGCTTTGTATTGTCTTAATTTTTTTGAATCGTTTGGCGTTGGGAGTGCCCTTGTGGATATCACACTGCTCCTTAAATTCGTTTCAGTAATCATAACTATGTCATTCTTGCAGAGCCGAGGAGAAGCTCTTCCGTATACCATACCACCAGTGAATGTCAGAGTGGAGATGTCGGTAAGAATTTTTTTCCTAGTCTTTGCGACCTTACATTGACATTGTGCGTCCTATTGTAGTTACATGCTTCCTTTTGATATCAGTTTTCCTCTCCTTGTCAACTATATCTCTCAGTTACCGTATTCTAAGTGGATTTGTGTCTAATTTATTAATTCTTGTCGTTTTACAGATCGCGGTTGTGGACAAGAATGCGCGAAGAAGCGGTGTTTATGAGGTACAAGGACGGATACTCAATTTTGGCCATGACCCACACTGGCTAACTTGTTCTTGAGGATTTTGACTGCAAAGAAAAGTGCTTCTTATGTTTCATAGAAGTATAATTCTCAGCAGGATTTTCCAGATATCTGTGTGCGTCGAAAGTCACTAGTGTACTGATGGATTTTTTTATAGAATAATGTTCACATTAGTTGACAACCTTTTTATATGCCCATTTATCAAAATTTTTCGAGAAACTTATGTACATAGCTTACCCTATTACTAATCGACATCGACTTTTGCTTCATTCAGAAGTGCAGCTCCTAACCTTCATATATAGCATATTCATCTAAGAGTGCTCTATCTTCCTCTAGTAAACTCTATATTCCTCTAGTATCGCTGGAGAGTTCCCTCGAGCTGAATTCGTACCTAACTTTATAAACCATAAGAATTACTTAGATAATCAACAAAAACTGCAGATTGGATGATTGTGGCATTGACTTCAGTATTAGTACCCGACGAGTGAAGAGAAAGCTTCCGATGAAATTTTGTTTTGACCGACAATGTGTTGAACTGTGCTTTCGCTTTGCAACCTGGAAGATGCGAGAGGAGGATTTCTCACTTCTTTCTTCAGTATTATGGGTATTGACGGAGTTATTATGCTCTCTTTTATCAGGTAGCTGAGGCCTTCGTAAACTACTGCTTTACTGAACCTGCCCAAAGGGAATATGCCAAGACCGGGTTCAGACCTTACGTGCAATCGGTACGTCTTGTCATTTCATAGAATTACTAAACGGCACGAATTGCTAAAAAATGTTTGGTCCCTGTTAAGACCTGGGTCGATTTAGAGTGGAATTCTTGCTGAATATGGAAAATGCTTGACGTACCATCATCAACTCGCCACATTGATGATGAGTATAATCGATTCTTCCATATCTCATGAGCGACATAGAGATATTTAATTATTTAAAGACTTGTTGAAGGTTCTCCTCACATGTTACTCTTGGTGACTTTGTTCCTTTAGTTTCTTCAGTGCTCTTTCTTGTATTCATCATGGTCTGTATAAGAGCTGTTGAATAATAGTTATTATTTGGAATGCTATGAAATTAGATCTGATTTCATGTGTGGCATGAAACACAGGTTGCAGAGGAGTTCAATATTATACCTGTGGAGAAGCCCTGGAAAGTCGAGGAGCAAGTCGGGGAGTGGTTGCATGTGCAGGTACTAATTGGGCAGTTCATGGGTTGTGTTTGTTTGATACGTCGTTCCATGTAGTTGGCTTTCATAATCCTTTCAAATGTTTTCTTCTTGACAAGAGCAGACGTGTCGTTTACTTACATCACATTATCCACGTTTTTCCTTTTATCAGGAGAAATTTTTTGCAGATAAAGGAATGATCGATGTCATTGAGCAAAATATTAGAGCATCCAGATTGGGGACTTAGTGCTCCTGTCACAGACACGTTTTTGACCTCTTTAGTACTTAGTGAGGCTGAAAGGTAGAGATATGACGGCCGGCCAGGGTGTTCGCCTCCACAGACCCGATTTCCCAAAGGGTATTCCAGCAATCTTAAGTCTCGCTGTGAGTGAAAATTCATTCTTTACCAGGCCTTTATTAGTTGGTAGGGCATGCCCAGGGCATCGAGTCTGACACGTGAATGTGAGGCATAGTAGCACTAATTAGATCTCCAACTAGACTTTCTTGACAAATCTGTCACCCATGAGACATGTGGGTTTGTTTCATCAACTTATTTTGATGAATGAAGTTACAATACACATCGCTTCTTGGTAGTATTCCCCCTGGTATCTGTATTATGGAATACATTTTTGAGATCATTTTGAATCTTCAGCAATGGATGAAGAACACAGAAACTTGATGTCGTCATGAGGTAATGGTACCCTTACATGAAAACGATATTGCAGACGGAAAAAATACACTGTGATCGAACTTTGGAAGAACTTCACCAAGTACTGCCCAGGTAACTTTGTATGTGACAATCGTTCATGAGTTTCTTCTCACATGCACATCCAAAGTGGTACTAATCTTTTTGCATAATGATGATCTTTCTGCATCTTTCCCACATGATTTTACTCTTTATATGGTAAAGAGAAAATGAGACAATGAGACACCACACGTGAAGTATTATGCAACGTTCTTGGCAGAACATGATTGGAATCTGTGACACGCCAATATTCAACAAAGCACAATACAACGAGATGAATAACGAAATTGGGTACATCATTATGTAATGCTCCACATCAAAATCATGATACTCTAATGGAGATAAACCTTTCTACATGTTGACATACTAATTATTAAAACCTTAAGTTCTAAATTGAATTGAACTGAATTGAACTGGCCATTTTGTGTTTACAGGGTACCAACAAAGCCAGTGTAGTAATAGGAAAACATTGGAAGAAGAAACGACCAATATAAATGTGAAAATTGAGTATAATAAAGAAATCTTACAAATATTAACTTCTCCGACTACTTTATTCAATTCTGCACAGTGTTTAATATATACCAAATCAGAAAGCAATGAAAACTCAACTGAAAAAGAAATGAAAAACCCCTGTCCACGTGAGGCAAAAAAGTACAGCCCTACAAAGAACTAATCCGGGCCCGAATCTCATCCTCTCTGCGTCTCGTCCCACCTTCCCAGGGGACTCCACATGAGGTAGTAGGAGTTTGCATAAGTGACATAATTAACATATTCTATTCGCTTGGTTTGATTCTCGTCGGACTCGATGGGTCGTCCTACCCTTCCGTCAGATTAGTCACTCCTCTTAGTTTCATGGAGGGTTACGTTTGTTGGTGGAACGGAAGTAATGTGAAATCCTAGCGTCAGCTTTAAATTGCACCTAAAGTTGAAGGTATAATCTGCACCTAACTAATAAGAAGAACAATGCGATTGCCTGACGCCAGTGGAAGCGAATGATCCGCTCTTAAGAATTTTGGATGGACAAATCTTCACCTAGTTGAAGCCAAACAGGACGATCTCCGCAGAAACCTTGGGGTTCTGCCTGTGAAGTAAATTCGAACACTAGTGGGTTTGAACCTCGTTATGAACAGCACATGAGAGCTGCACTTCGAATCATGACAAGCTTATGCCAAATTGCTTCTCGCCCAAAGTGAAAGACGAGGGACCATGGCCCGGATAAATCTCATGAAGGGATGACGTTCAGTCTCATTGTTAATACTGATGCTGAATGTTCTTCACTGGGACAAAATGCCAGGACTAGCAATAATGGAGGAGAAGATTCCCAACTTTGGTGCGTTATAATGGCCGATGAGCGGATCCATTAAGGAAGAGCATGAGGAAAAAGTTAGAGCTTGAGGGACAAGAACGGAGAAGCAAGTGTGTCCCACCCGATCAGTCGAGAATCTGTCATGGTAGGCGACGTACGGTATGGAAGTGCACAAATGAGATGCATTTTGTTCTTTGCATGATTGCTCCCTCTCAGCTCGGTTCAACAGCTTATGGTTGCAACCGGTGGTGTTTTTGAGTGATCGAATGGGCAAACAATTTCTGGAAACGTCGTCACGTAGAAATAACATTCAGAGTTTCAGTATGGTTGGAGTGAAGCAGTGTTTTGCTTGTCAGCATGCTTGAGGTCAGTCAGATTTTAAACAGACATTGGACTCTTCAAGCTTCAGTCAGTTCCGCTTGTCGCTTAGAATTTATGGCGTGAACAGGAAAGAGGCTGACAGGCTAAACTGAATCGCCCCATTGACATTAGTGCTGTTTCGCAGTTGAAACTAAAGGGACAACATTGGAAAGAATGTTCATTTCCTGAGTACGGTATCTCACCTCCTTCTTCTTGGGAGGAATATGATCGATCGGGACCCGAGATTGAAATATTGGGACTGACGTCGACTGACATTGACAAGGTGGACAGAACGCCAGAGCACGGATACGTTTCCTTGTCTACAGTTTTAGAACAGCATTCGCTCGTGTATAGAAACACAGAGTTTTCCAAGGTACAAATTCCTCGACGAGGGTGCGCAGTTGGATGAGAAAGAAGGGAGCGATGGCGGGGCCTCGAGGCGGCCCTAGCTTGAAGAAACTCGGACTGTTAATAGCTGCGTTGATAGCAGGTGTATTGTTCTATCAGAAATTGTCTGCGATTTCGCTGAACTCACTGCTGGAGCCGAGTTCCAACCGGTAAGCTTTAATTTTCCCACTCCTTCAATCAGAACGTCGTCGTTTTCTCCGAGTCAAGCTCATCAAGGAGTCGGAAATTTATTCAAAGAATCGAAGAAAGTTGTGTCGCTCTGTCGAATTTCCTTTGTGTGCTGGTTACACGGCCTGGTAAAGGAGGCATAGATTTAAAGCAAGTGCATAGTAATGTCTTTGTTGTCAAGATGTCAGATTGCTTGTTCGAAACACCTCTGATTTGATCCTTGGACTCGACTGCATGTATATTTCGTCTTCTCGTATCATATATCCCTTTAGAAGACTTGGCGAATTTATTTGGTTTCTACGGGGATACTTTCTTGGGTATAATACAATAAGTGGAAGGTTCCCGCTACCTCGTAACAGAACCAAGACGAGTCTTGTATGTGCGCCTAACGGGGCCCTGGGGCTCCTCACCAAAGATTATCGATCTTGTGTGGAGCCGATTTGAAGATGAATTCCAGTCGTTAGGTGAGAACTAGCTGATGCTTGCGCAGAAACAGATTCCTTGAGTAACCGGCACTATACCCTGATACTTTTCGGTAGCTAAGTCGTGAAGAGTGAATTTCATTCGAGTTTGATTCGAGGGAACAAAACGATAATCTCTTCTTCCTTTGAGGGCAACACCTGAAAAGATGTAATGAACCATTGCAGATTGTGCCAATATACAACCAGCAGTACTTTCAGAAAATACTTCTGATGTCTAGCTCTTTTACTTGCCATTTGGAATCACTGTTCAATTCTAGTCCCAGTTGCGAATGCTAATGTTCATTCCGAATATGCAGGAAACATTATGAAAGACTATACGAGGGAGCTATGGATGAAGTTGCTGATTGGAGACAGAGATACGACAATGAATCTGCAAAAGCTGAGCAACATAGGCAATTTCTTAATCAGGTTGTGATTACAGATTATTATACACTGACTGCTTGACTAGTGCTTGATAAATTAAAAACTATCTGACCCTGAAATCATGATAGTCTTATCCTCCTTACACAACTGTTTGTTTCTGTCTCTTGATTGTTCATTATCGTTACTTTCTTTCTTACTTGGATTAGAGCGAGGTTTGTAGTCAGCCTGTTCATAGTGGTCGCACAATTCTAGAATCTGACCTGTAGTCAAAAGTCATCCTTTTTTTGTCATTGTTGTCGTACTGATAAAGCGTATCAAACGTCTCAGGTGGAACTTCAGGCAAAGAAACTGGCAGAGGTATGAATGGCTTTCTCTGTAGATTGAGTTGTATCCAAGCTATCTAAGACTGTTGTGGCAGATTTTCATATCCATTTCTCATGATTACTGAAGCAGGATCCTCTTCACGGTCTGTATACCTTTTGCCAAGTTTGAAAGTCTTGTGAGTATTGAAGTCGAAATATGTACAGCCTAGCTGCCATTATTCACAAAACAGCCACATGCTTTTGTCCTGATGCCCTTAGATTTTACATTTTACCCTCTACCATTCTTCGTGCCTCCTAGAGACGAGTACTAGCAGTCCTCATGTCTGCTTTCATTTCTGTCATGACAAAAATTGTTGTTTTTGTCATCTGCTGCGATAAACATCAACTACATGCATACCATGATTGCTCACTTTGCATGAATTAGTCCATCATTTTGTTACAAGGTCTGTAGTCATTTCGGCTTTTTGAACGCAGGAAAAAGAAAGATTGAAGGCTCAAGTTTTGAAACTGCAAGAGGAGTTGAAGAGGTATGAAATTGTCAGTATTGAGCTTATCAGACTGCAGTGGTTCACATCTTATAGATACGTCTCTATGAACCATTTTCTCACGATTGTATTGCTGCTTCGGTGAACCTTGTGTGAAATATTCAGCGAATTATGAGGCGCGAGAGTGTTTTGCTATATTGAAGTTAGTTCGCTTGTAAACTTGCAGAAATGGAGCTCTTGGATGAATGACAGTCGCATGAAGAACAACTGACACAGCAAGTGACTTTCGCTCTACTTCTATCACACTTCTCTAGTTGCATAATCTGTAATAGACAAGAACACAAGGCCGTAAGCATCGCTTTAATGTTCTGGATATGTGTTCTACATAAGTGCGAGTAGACTAGAAAACACCTGTTTGAGGTAGGAGGCCCTTCATAGGATGAGCTGTATAATGTCCAGCAATGTCTACCTTAGGACTGGCGAACTGTCGACGGACTTCGATGAAGGAGGACATGGGTCTATATCTCAAACGTTTTGTACAGACAATGATCTGCACTTGGGTATCCAAGGTGAAGCAGAGTTCTTCGCATATGCAGAGCTATTACACAATAACCCTTCCGTATTCTGCTACAATATCCCTGGTATCAAATCTTCTATCGTCATGGAATATTCGATATGTCAGTATCAAGGTTATTCCTTTGTCAGGATTGTTGCGTTCGATTGATTTCTTCAGCGTAAAGATGTCATATTCATATCAACTTCTAGTAGCAAAACATTGCCCTCTGTATAACTTCATATTATTTATTTAACCGCAAGTAATGGACAAGCCAACTTTGATTATCTAGAGAAATCTTCTTTGACAAATTTGATACGACCCAATCGACGGATTCATAGTCTATCTACATCTATAATGGACGTTCTTGAAATTTTTTCAGAAGTTAAAAAATGATTATCAACCCAGTTGAGTACATCCGAGGACCTTTCACAACAAAAGACACACCGAGACAATTGCTTAGTGCTGAGGTGTTGAGATCCCGTTTTGGAGGATTGAGAAGGACAGAAAATCCCGAGATATTGGATTCGATTGAGCTGTTCCGAGATGTAGTCGGAATCGAAGTGTACGAACGAAAGCTTCAATTATTAAATTCAACTTTTATAAGTAGCACCGCGCTAACACAGCGCCTGCGTGAGAAACTTTGTCCCAATGGGGACGGTAGTATGAGTCTCGGAACTCGAACTCTTGATTTCCATTGCCATAAAGGCGGAACAAAGATTCACTGGATCGAAGGTCGATTTTGTGAATCAGATCGGCCGTGCAGTAACTGGACGCTGAAGGCTGGCATGACATATACAATATGTTATATACTGTATACGTAGTACAAGTGACTTGTATCCATCACCCTTGTAGCTATACACCGATACCATATTCTGGGGCAAAATCAAACCACAAGATGGTATACATTTGATCGTTGAACATAATAATGTATATTGGCCCATTTAGTTTATGGGGTTGATACTCCAATCCTGTTCATTTACTTTTCCCACCCTCCCCATCCCCGACAACTTTCTACGTTTCCCTTGCGCTGGACAACGGCTAAAACGGAATCAGCGCGGGTTGATTACTAAGTACTGGACAATTACGAACTTCGTGTCCAGGCCTCTACATTCCTTGGAAAGATGCGGGGCTCTGCAAATTGTCTCCAAGTAGCTTAGTTCCCATATTATATATATATATTTATATGATATTGGCTAGTGCCTTGGGGCTCTGCAAATTGTCTCAAAGGTGCTTGGTTCCCGATACGTTGTCGATATTGGCTAGCGCCCTGTGGCACACGCATGGACAACAACGGATGGAATTCCGCATACATGGGCATTGGCGGGCTCGAGAATCTGTATTGCAGGTGTACCAACTTGTAGATCTAGCGCAAGCCACCAATGTTTATGTACCGCAGTCATTGGTAGTCTCTCGTTTGCAGATCGTAGATTGTGGTCGCTGAAGGAAGTCCCATGACAATCTTAAAACGGGGGTATGGTTTCAGACGGACTTTGTGCCCCGCATGGTCTTTGGCGATTGTAAATTGAAGTTGGATCTTGATGAGAGCAACCGAAGAGACCTGTGGTACCACATGTGAGATGGAGGTATACTTCAAATATAGGCAAATAATACAACAGGTTAATCAAGGGAAGAACCCAACAGAATTGAACTTAGAAAAGTAACTTTTGCGCTTAACCTCTCTTCATCCCACCTGGTCCACAACATAAGACTTGATTAAATGGAATTAGTAAGCTCTATAGATCTTGTCATAGAACTTGTCTTAGTGAACAAAATTGCATCGCTCCTTTTGCTATGAGATGACGATATCGATCTCTTGATATTGATTGGAGAGAAATTGCAATACACGTTCAACCACATACATCATGTCACCAATGCTAACTTGTAGGCGCCGCTTCAACAATGAGTGTGCGCCTTCCACGAGTGACGAGGATGTCAATTTGAAATGCGGCATTTTGTTAACATATGCATGACAAAGTATATATTGTACTACATAGAGTAAAGCGCATACTGCACAGCATGCGACTAGATACCCACCCATTCCGTTTGAATATGCACCAGCTTCTTTTGCAGCTCGTCCTTCGTGCCCTCTAGCATCATCTTCAGAACAATGTGATGAACGTATGTCAATCCTCAACGGTGAAGCCTGTCCGATGCTTTGCCATCACGTCCTTACAAATATGCCATCGGCAGAGCATCTTGTGAGGAACCTCAACGCCAACTCGCGATCGGTGACAATGATGAGCGACAGATAGTTGCATATAAAGCCTTTGTAGTCGTTTAGTGCCCACTCGTTGTTCTCGATTGTCACTGCACTGAGAAACGTAATGGCCGATGTGAAAGTCACATCTAGTGCAAGCAAAGCTAACAATGTGAAGTCGTGGCATTTTGAACCTCTTCGTTTTGTAGGTGCAGTTCATGGGTAGGATCGTTCCAAAGCGACAAGTAAGATGTACAGCCATGGTGCTTATGAAGTCGAATCATGTTAGACGTCCGCTAGCATCAACACAATGGTTGTTGGGTATATCCCGTTCAATCAAAGATGAAAGAAAAGCCTCCATTAGCATCCGGCCATCAAACCGTTTGATTCTGAGCTGCCTCTTCAAAATGTATATGTTGCGTGCAATGACGTGCTCGAACAAGGGTTTTAAACATATCAACGTTAAGATCTGAGCAGGCGCAACACCAGCGGGTCACAAAGTGCGAATACTTTCTTTTACGTCGTTGATCATCTTGCGATGAGTTGAATGCGCAACCTCATGAGTATAAAACTGTGTTTTATGATTTTTTGATTTGTGGGCTGTAAAATACGTTTTGTTTAATACAGTGAACAAATGTGAGCTAAATTTACTACTGAAAAAAGCATCATGAAACCGTCGTCCAAAATCTCGTTGATATCAAACAGCATTTGATCATCAAAATGATTCAAAACATCCGACATATCAACCTGGTTGAATTCATCGATGTGATCTTCCAAGTCGCTCTCCAGAGCATCTTCTTCATCACCCTCTTATATATCGTTCACCTTGTTGATTCGGCCCGCATCAGCGCCGAGCTTCTTCAACCATCAAACAAACGGACCGGTGCGTTTAACACTCACATGTCGTGTAAGTTGCTACACATTTAACAAGATGGCCGTGCAGGTGTCCACCTTGCCTGCCGCAAATCAAGACCAGTTGCGCGAATGTTATCGTTTGGTGAACTTGTGATTTCGCTTACTAGCAATGGCTCTGTTTAGCATCTTGAGAATGGCCAAGAGCGTCTTCTTCAGATGTGAGTACAACGAGTCATCAGTCAACGCCTTCATGTGTAGCGGCATGGAGAATATGTCGGCAAAATTGTCGTCATTGTTTGCGACACTGAAGATGTAGAGGCCGAACTCGCATTGCATTGTTGTGTTCATCATGTCGTCGATAGTGACTACACTCTTGATAGTTGTTTCGCATTGTTGCAAGATGATCGAGTCGCTCAAATAGAGTAAAGACTCACATTGTAGCTTAGATAGATTATCGCGGAGGTCGTCGAATAGAAGGTTTGTGCGCTGGCAAGAAGATCGTCTTGATGCGATAACAGACACAGCGCATACATTTTGTCGACATCAGCACTACTAAGCTCCAAAACGACCATTACATGTGGTGGTAGTGTGCAAATGTGATGCGCAACGGCTAGAAAGCAAGCATATACGCTCAAAAATGTCAACTCGTCATCCTCCAAGTACGTCTGACTATAACATATAATACTAAATAGCACTTCCACGGCTACGACGCTCTTCCTTAAGGCTGTCGACTAGATTAGATCCCTCAAGTCGTTAGGAATATCAATGTCTAGATCGTTTGACACGATTTCGGTTGGCAATTGGCATATTGTCGTCCGCACCCACTTCAGGCGATTAGAAGCTTCTCACACCGTTCTCCATAGCGTTTTTGTGAACACAATAAGCACGAGCGTGCTCCCATACTTCTCCAAGCATATTTTATAGAGCAGCTGCTGAACGAAATGCATATTCTTAACAATTCTTACAAGAAAGAAGATCTGCTTGACAATGAGCTTTACAACCGAAATTTCTCTCATCAAATCCATGCGCAGATTGTGCAACGCATGCGTTGAGCAGCCAAACGCAAACAAAAACTCAGTGTATTAGATACAAAGGCGGCATAGCTTGATCATGACTATCGCCAAATCAAAGCCGAACATGAACATCGACGCCCTCACAAAATGGTCGTTCAATGTGGCAATCTGCTGTGGATCGGCATCGTTATGACAAGCACCAGAAGTGACGACGTGGTCAACAAAGCCAAGTGCAAGTTCGCGAATGCTGAGTAGCAGATGACGCTTGCAGTCAATCAGCTTTTTGTACAGGTTCCCAACACTCTCATGACAGAGCTCCATTGAGAAATGTTCCAAGAAAAAAGCCATCAGTCTACACGCCATCATGTTTATGATCTGCTTGCCTTGAACGTTTATGGCGCCGTTCAAGGCCAAGCAGATCATGACGGATTGCTCCAGGTTGTGCATAACCTCAGCCATAACGTTTTTGTACTCTAAGTGCAACAGATCGTCGTCCATCGATACCGTGGAAGTGACGTGGAAGTCATCACGCATAGCGTGGAAAAAATCATGTCACATATTATGCTCAAAGGCCTTAAACGGCATCGCCGTTTGATCAACGGCGCGAACAAACAATTTGCATAGACATTCGTGCTCTTCCTTTGTCAAATAGTCAAAATGAGCACGTCCATTGCTGAATGTGGATGACGACACCCTGACGTGGTCATTGTGTTCTGCGATGGAAGGATTGCCCGATGATGATATTGTTATTTTTGACTTCTTGCGAGACGGCACAGTGAAGCCTAGATTAAGCTGCCCAATGGAGCAAGTGCACTTTGGGCAAGCACTAATATGGCTTTGAAGACGAGCAGCTGCGTTCCGACAACCGCTGAGCAATTTCTGCAAACTACCTTCGCCGCTTTGTTTCCGTCCGAAACATAAGGTTTGTGAAACTTGTACCTTTATCTTAAAAAGGAAATAAAATAAAACTATAAAATCTTATTTTTAAATTCAAATCGGTCTCAAGTATCATTCATAAATGATGCATTAAATAATTTTATTAAAATATTAAACCCCATAAATTATTTTCTCTAAATTTGAAAAAAATGATCTATAAATAAGAAAATTAAATAAATTTCATTTAAAATTTGCTTTGTGAAATGTGAAAATTTAGCGTTATAATATCTAAAAACTTATCTCATAATAAAATTTCATTGCCATAAAAAATTATAAAAAATCTCTTGAATGAGAATTTTATACATGTTAGCATCTATTTCTTTTTATATGATTCTTTTGAGTTATAAAATGTAATTTTAAAATATTTAAAAATTAAATCTGTAATATATTACATTTAATGGATAATAAATAAATTTCACAATTAGGTATAAGAACCTTCATGAAATCTACATACCTAATTCAAAATGTTGAAAAGTGTTAAATAAGATGACTTAAATATGATATTATAAGAAGTCTAAGAGTATTTTAAATCATGTCCAGTACAACTGATCGCATTTTAAACTCTTGCTCACTTTACCATGTTCTTGGTTGTTACTTAGATTGATACAAATGTATAAGGTGGGATAGCCTGATTTTTTAATGTAGCGATTCTGCAATAACTGATTGTGTTTAAATTTCAATATTCTTTATCTTCATCACTCTACTCGTGATTTCACACATAAGATTCAACTTGTTTGCTAAGATATCAGATGGTAGAGAGAAAGAATTAAAGGATTCAGGTGCCAGCGGAGTTTTGTATAAACTGAAAGTGATATTAATATACTACAACTGATTTTATTTATCAGCTTGATGGAAAAAAACGTCAACTCTCAAAAACGTAGGTTCTAAGTAAAGTTTTTTAACTAAAATAGAATTGAATATAGTTTCAATAAGTTTGTAAATAATATTATATCTCTATAATGCATTACTCACCTAGATAGATTGAACTGGAGCGGATTCTTATGCTTTGTAGGTAAGGATCCTTCTAGACAACATAAGAAGTATATATTAGCACAGTCGTCAACATTCTCTTAAGGTAGCGACAAAACTTTAATTATATTAGTCACACGTACTGTGTTTGTCCTCTCTAAAGTCTTGAATTCATTTTTCTTAACAGCATCCAAACTAGATTATCGTCGATATTCTAGGTTTAGACGCTCGATTGTCCACACAAGTTTTGTAACACTTTTGAATGTCAGATTATATACTCGAATCGATCATTGAGTTCTAGTACTGTGTTCACTTCTTGTGAGTGCAGGTTGTACTGCAGTAGCTAGCTAGGGGGATCGAACTCAGTATCCAGACTGGTTGGAATTTTTCTCTTTGAACCTTTTAGTGGATGATTCTCAGTATGTACTATGAGTTCTTGGTATGTGTGGCAAGAAGAGACAAACTATGTCATGAACAATCATGTTTGGTTGATTATAATCAACTAGAATCTTTCCCATCTTGCCCAAAAAAATTTTGTAATCATAAATCTCTTCTTCAGCTTTGGTAAGAAAATTAATGTAAGCACAAAGGTCCTCATCTCGGGTGAAAACAAGACTTAAAATAGATTGGTTAAGCCAGTTTGATTTCAAAACTATAGATCAAGCAATAAGTGTACTCGGGTTTATTGTGTTCTAATTCACTACATTTCAACTTGATCCAAACGCAGAACTGAGTATTGAATCAAAGTCGATTTGGTTAATGTATGACGATAAGATAAAGCTCATATATATCCATCTCTTCGTTGAATTTTTCTGGACCTCTCCTCAGGGTGGTTGATATGGCGAGAGTTTCTTGGCTCTCAGTTCCAATGGCCTTCAGATTCCAGCACAAGACTTCAGAAGGCAATCAATCAGTCACCGATTTCTTGCAAAGTCGACCTGGCAGTGTTACAAAAGGCAATCTGTGCACGAATCGGCTGAGAGCAGAACGACCCAGACGCGTTGAGCCTGTGGAATTGGGACACCTGTGGCCAACTCTGTACTTCTGGTGGTCTGACAAGTGTCGGTCTGAGAATAGTCTGCTGTCTAGTGCAATGTGTCTATTGCCAACTAGAAAAGACACTGCAAGCCACCGTTCCATGACTTCCAATCTTGAAGCACTCTGTTCGTCCAGTTGAAATCCACAAACACCTCTTTCTTTAAATCTTGTTTCCTTGGTTGAGTACCTGCCTGCTTGAGGACGACTGGCCACCGATTTCTACAATAAGTTTATTTATGAATACACCTCATGTTCCGTGTATTCAACACCTCGGCTACACAGCTCCATTCACAATGATGTAAGTCGCCGTGAGGGAACATCTATGGAAATTTGACGAGTTTCAAGCATAGCACAAGCAGCAGCAGTGGGCCAATCGCTCTGGATTGAAAAAATGCTTTTCGAAGCAGAGAACAAATTTGTTCTTATGCTGGGGCTATGCCCACTCTGAGAAGAGGCAGCAGTGTGCCAGTCCTCGTGCTGCAGCACCTGGATCCGAAGAACGTTTAGAAGCACTTTACAAGCCTGTGCTCATTGCTAGGGCTAAATCTTCCGTAGGAGGTTCACTACATTGTGGCACGTACTAGTCAGAAGCAGTAACTGGCCGAATTGAGTGCCGATCATCAGGAAGGAAGGAAGGGTAGCGTAGCACAGATGTTGTCGTGGATATCACATGGCATTCTTTGGGCCAGCGTTCTTTGTGGTAGACCTTCGATGAGCCAGTCAACAGTGTCAGGAGATTATGAAGATCGTTCGAGATTTCAATGGCAGTCAAAACCGATAATCGCAGTCATAAGGCTGAAACCCAAATGGCTCGCCTCTTTCGATTGTGCTCCCTGTGAACACTCTCTCAAGGACTCCAGGATTCCATGTTGTGAAAAGGTGAGGGGTGCTTTTACAGATGCTTCATCTGTAGGATTCCGTGGTTAATATGCGGAGAAGGTAAAACTTGAATTCGGTGAGAAACTACTCCACCTTCCTCCATTGGCTTACACATTTAGTCAAACTAGCCTGACCTACGTTTGGTAAAGATCTAATTTGCAGGTTATACTTGTACCTGTGAGCATGCATGTGTGGAACCATGTTGCTATTGGAATTCAGTCCAGATTCCTTTCCGGTGTGAGGAAAACCATGAAATTGAGAATTATTGAGACTGGTTTGGTGACCAATAGTTTCAGTGGTAACTACAGGTTGACGATATGGCAGAATTAATAGCTCAGAATTCTTTGAGTCCCGCTCTCTGAACTGTTTGGACAATCAGTCCACATTCCCGTGATGGTGGACTGACGCTGTAATCGAAACATGTCAATTCCTTAAGCATCATTTAACACCAGCACTAATAAACTTTCCAAGTGTTCGAAATGATTCTATAAGTAGGTTCAAATCCTACCTGAGGAGATGTTGTTTATGCACCCAGATGTCTTCTCCACATTGCAGAAGTATTTGCCTTTCAGATGAAGGGCGAGGATCGTCCGAGGTGTTTGAAAGCAAATCTTGTAGTCTTTCAGTTCCCTGAGTCCCTTTTATCAGATTCTTACTCTGCTCTTCATGTAATTCAGGGCTCCAATCCTCACGCTGTCGAGATCGACAGCTTGAGGATCTCATAAGCCGCTGCTTTTGAGTTTGTCGATGTAAATCTCGCGCTAATTATTCGATCTCTAGATCTGGACTTGACGTTTTGTTTTATGAGCTGGGGGTGCTGGTTGGGCACGAACAAAACTGGATAGACGCTCTCCTAAATTAAGAAGACCAATTTTGTCTATCCATTTCTGGAAATGATATCAACCTATACTCTCGTGCAGAGAATGCTCCTCGATCTGAATTGCGCACATAATACTTCATCCTTAGATTGGGTGATTTGATAAGCTAGTGTAGGCTAGACTTCTGGTCGGGTTTTGAACGGACATTCGAGTCGCTACCAAAATCGGAGTGAGGATTCAAGAAATATCTATCTACTTCTCGGGACGAAATGAGTGTAATCTCATTCATCATCAGAAAAGGACTCAACAGCGATCACTTTCATTGCACGAGATCATCCAAAACTGGATTTATGATATTTCGTCAGATGTCCAAAACACCTCGTATTGTCCCTATATTATCACCCTCGATCCTTTTCGGTGATTGACATGCTGGTCTTCGGTGTAATTTTTTACAGAGAAATTTTTTGGCCCCGAGTCTAGACTCTAGATCAGTTGAATTTCCTGAGGCCGGATCATGATCGGGGGTGGGGGTGATCATCGTGATAGCAGCATGACCCAGCGAGATTGCGCACACTGGGAGAACCCATGTCACTACAGCTTGAATACATGGGGCTGGGAATCGGTCAACCGATCCAGATTGGAAATTGAAAAGTCGTTTCGTGATTCGGTTGGCACATACAACACGACGTCCCGAACTGCCCCGCCTAGCGATCAGTCCTAAAGAATCCACAAATTTCTTCTCCGGTAAGTGGTCGTAAGGATTAGGAGGAGAAAAAAAAATCTCCTTGTATGTTCTTTCGTCAACTATCGTGCTACGGAAAGCAGTCTTGCTGCTCGAGATTTCGGCTCTCGTATAGATAGCAGGGAACAGGATGTGGCTGTATGGAAAATAAACATGATCTAAGAGCTGACATGTTCATGCATCTGCTGAAAGACTTTGCACAAAAGGAGATCGTTTCAGCTTCGGCTGCATGATTTAGAGCTGCAACCACCCTGGCTTGAATATCTTCGAGCCAAATCTTCGATTTTAACACAAAATATACATCCGCGACCGTCAAAGCTGGCAGGGGTCGCGCAGTGAAAATTGTTCGTACAGACATGTCCTTGGGCAGGTTTGGGAAAAAGCGATCACAGGCGTTAGAAATAGGAAAAGTGATTCGAAATTGGTAAGAGTCACGTGCCATCGATCCATCTGAGCAATATAAATCCAGCTCTGTAGCTGGAGAGTAATTACAAGACATGTGCATTTAATGGAGGCTTATGTGAGCCTGGAAAGAGCGCCGGGGAGCAGACATGATTACATCAGGGAGGAAAATCCCACCTTCACATTCCCACTGGCCTGTGATCACGGGCTTAAGCGAAACAAAAGCACATGGCAACTGGATCCAAACTGAGGTGAGATACTTGCGAATTGTCCAATGGCACAGCAGCGAATTGTAGAAGAAGGCCAAGGGTCAGTCTTGCAGCTATAGCCTTCGGATCTGCTGCACCATAACCCTAACTAATCCTCGAGCATTGTCAAGATATTGAACTTTTCCCAACAAGGAAACGTCCAGGTTCTATGTCCACCAGTAGGGAGGCAGATTGTAGGACTGCAAACAAAAAGCAATTTGACCGCTCAATCCATCATGTGCACTCCCGTCTACTGGCTGACATACAGTGAAGAAATTGACGTGATCTTTCGCTTTTGTGTTCAAAGATCGGCAAATTCTGTCATGTGCGCTGCCTTCTACTGGCAGATACGAAACCATGACAAGCCCCTGAACTTTTGAGGCCCAGGATCAGCATCTTCATCATGTGCGTATTGGTCTATTGGCAAAGAACTTGATCTCCCGTTGCACTTTTGCGGATAAAGAGCGGCATCTTCCATGAACGGGAGAAAGAACATGCAAGCCTAAGTTCACAGGTGTTCACACAAATCCTTCATCACGGTTGACCTCGAGGGTAACAAAGCAGCGACGAAAGCAGATTTGATCGAACGAGCTCCTTCGGCCTCGGCCTCGGGCAAGAAGAATTCACGCCCAGTAATGCAGCAGCAGGAAGCTGGAGGAGGCCGACTGTGACGTGGAGATCGGACAAAAGGCCATTGGCCACTCAATCATGACAGGTGAGGCGGGGCCGCGGCTCAGCCGCCACAATTGAATTGAATTGCTTTTGATGCTTTTGATGCCAAGATTCTTGCGTATGCAAAGCTCGTTCAGATCTTTGGTTCGGTTCCATATTTGCTCGGCCTGCCATTGGAGCTCGCGATCTTCCACACTTTCATACGACCAAAGAAATTCCCCGACGAAACCATTCCGTCGAGTTACGTTCCCCTTCCGGCCCCTTGCGGACGACGATGCTGGGCCACGGTCTGGCGATCGAACCAGGTTCCAAACGGTCAACACCACCTGTAATGTGCTGAAGACAGGCCGGTTACTTGTCTGTGCGTATGTGACGTCCATCATTGCATTCTATGATGCGAATTGACATGGCGCTTTTCTTTTCAATGCCCTCATTTGCCATGTTTCCTTTGAAAGCTCTTCTTGCCTGAAGTTTTGACTGTGCCGAATTGTGAGTATAATTGTGAACACTATTGATGTATACCTTTTGGATCCTTTGTATGTAAATAATGAATCACTTATTCTCTAGTCTATACAATCTTCCAAGGATGTACTATCATAAGCTTTTTACACAGGAAGTAATCCCATTCCGAACGCAATTTGAAGTCAAATTTTGATATTGTTTAGTCTACCAACATTAAGAATTTATACTTCCAATGAGTTCATTTAACAAGTGTTACCTCAAATTTAGGGAGCGGCTAATTATTATACTTTTGGCAAGATGGACCCCGACCTTATGCCCATCTGACCGTGAAGAACTCACCCGCGCACACTCTAGAAGCCGGATGATGGCATAAGGTCGGGGTTGTTCTAGCCTGCAGCCTAATTATCCTAAGTTTATACTAACTATCCCTCATTCTACAAATGTGCCCTGTGGCGGTAACTCGGGTTTGCCACTTTTGCCGTAGCTCTCTAGTAGGGTCCAGACGGGGAAGGTGTTGACTCTTGTGATTGAGGGATGGTGGAGGAGCGATGCTCAATCTCCTCTATTAGGCTATCGCGCCAGTTTTACGCAATGAAAGAGATGGGGATAGTTTCCATGAACGCAAAGATCTCTTCCAACGCATGGTTCAACACTCGATCGGACTTCCAAGCGAGTTCGCCCTTAGCTCGATGTCCAATTGAAGATTGCATGCGATTGTTGATCTCGTGCTTGCAATACTCCTACGATCGCTTCGACATGGCAAGAACAAAGGGATGTTGGGTAAGTCGTGCAGTACTTTCAGCAAAAAAGTTACTCCACTAAGAATAAATAAATAAATTCACTTAGGCGATTTAAAAAATTCCACAACCCGTGTTACCTCCACCGGGTTCAAATATTATGTGGTTTCATTAGCGACCAAACTGTCAAGGAACGTAGAAAGTGAAGACCTGATTGCAATTATTTGAAGTCGTTACTTTTGACTTAAGTTCCAAAATTCTTTTGCCTTTGCAAGTGTCAATTTACTTTGCTCTAGTGTCGTAACAATATTGCTAGCCATAACACCAACACGAATGAGAATAAGCAATGTCTGTCCTAAAACGTACCCTTGTAGATGGGAGGTGGGATAAGCAAGTAAATCATGGTTATGTTGGGTAGAGTGGACTTGTCTTTCTTCTTTGTAGTATGAATAATAATCAGCATAAACTGAGTTATAATAACCACTTCTTTGATTTAATATTCTTTAATATATAGTCTTTGGACTTGTCTTTCTTCTTTGTAGTATGAATAATAATCAGCATAAACTGAGTTATAATAACCACTTCTCTAATTTAATATTATAATCATTTACATTAAATGACTAAAAAAATTCAAGTATGAGAGTTAAAATCTGACTATAAGATAAAAACCTATGTCAAAGAATTCATAGAAAATTGTAACTAGTTGAAAATTCTCACTTCTTTATTCTATATGGATTTGTAATGATGACAAATAGATCCATAATTGAAATTTATGTGAAAAGATGTGATTGAATTATATAGTGTTCAAAAAGTCTATCAAACAATAGGTATGATTTAGTAATGGAGTTAAAGCTTAACCTGTATCTCCATTATTATATGGTTATTTATAACATCAATTGCATTAGATGCAAATCTCCTATACATTCTCTTTTAGAGAATCATAACTCTCATAACATTACATATATCTGCGATATCGCTCGTGCGTCTTGGCTTGAACATTGATTGAACTTTTTGACTTCCATTCACTACTTTTTCGGAAAACTATGAGGTTATAGCTTTGACTGATTAATTCATATGTATGTTCATGTGAAATTATTCTCACATCTTCAATGTTTGATTTTGAGAAATACACTAAATCAGTCAATTTCCATGTGATATGGCAGAAAATAACTAATTGTTATCTCCTAAGGATATGGTGTTTGCTACGGGCACAAGATGATCGACACCTGGTATACAATTGATCACTAGCATGTCTTGTAGTCAACTTGGCTCAGGTCAGATGTTAGTTCTGTTCAGAAATCAAATGTTGCTGTTGCTATGATAAGGTTTTAGATTTGCGAATGACCTAATGTTGAAGTATTTAATGATAAAGACAGCAAAGTCTCGAAATCAAGTTTTATGTAAAAATATTTCAAATTTGTTACTCTCATCCTAGATATATATTGAGCGACTAATTTCAACTTCAACAAGTTTATGAAACAATACATGAGAAGATGTCACTTTATGAGAGAATTATTCATTTTGTTCTTTTGACCTTAGAATTATTTTGAACTATGGATGCCAATATCGACATTTTAATGATAGAACTCATGAAAGTGCATTGACTTATGAAAAAGAAAATTGTTCTTTGTTCTTCTAACCGTAGAAATAATAACCTACGGTCGTGATCCTTTACGGAAACTACGAGAGTTTGTGTTTCAGCATGTGATATGGATTATTAAGTTTTTTGATATATTGTGTATCCATATGTTTGGAGGAATTAATGAACGCATGTTTATCAACTTATCTGGATTTCTTTGGATAATTGTAAAGCATGTTGATTATGACTCATTTAATATCATGCACTAGATTGACCGTTTGACATACATCACTAAAAAAATACATGTGCACTTTAAAAAATTCTCATGATGTACCTGGTATAATACTAACTTTTGTTTTAAAATCAATTATACCTCGTCAAATATTAAAAAAGGTTAGTATCTACCTGACGAGGTGTTCTGAATTTTCTTTGTATCAATTGGTTTACCTTTTTCATTTGATGCTTGGGAGGAATCTCCTTTCCATGGCATGTCTTCATCAATAAGGGAGTCAATGTTTCAAACATCATGAATGCAATGAAGATTCTCCCACGTCCAACGTTTAATGATGGCGTGTGATTATTAATATACGGCTGGAGATGCTACTCCGACAAGGAATTATGGTTCTTAAGCTGAGTATGAAAAGAAAAGTACCACACTACTTCTTGCTTATATGGTGGCAACCAGAAGTTTCATATTCATTGAAGTTGGGAAAAACCTACTCAGATTAGGCACTAAAGATATCGAATTCTAGGATCCTCTTTGTGATGTTCATCAGATTAAAACATCATTAACAACCAAAACATCCGCCAACATTTACTAGCTGAATTCGTTTCTTGGTCAACATCATGAGATAACACCAACGTTTTACATATCAGGAAACGTGGAGAAAGGACGAAGAAAGCCAACGAAATCTTCTGATGTCGCCATACGTCATGAACAAAACGAGCTTCTGAACGATGGTGTACTCTCTAGCCTTAGAGAGTACACCATCGTCATTGTCGACATGTCGAGATGAAAGTTTCCAAAAGCTAGGAACAAAATGAACCACTCATAAGTTGTGGACGATATTAAATGTATAAATGCTTGCATCTAAGCCCCAAAATTCTATATGCAGTTAAGACCAAAATTCTGTCAATTACTACACTGATTCAAAGACGCACTGTTCCCCATATTCATATACTCACCCAATTCGACTCGTACACACGAAGCAACGTAATGAGCGACATTCTCAAAGCTTGTTGTGCAGGATTCATGCAGAATGAGTCTGAATGAAAGGAGGCCGTGGTTGTCCGTGCGAAAACTTTGACACCTGCAAAGCTCACCACCAGCTGGCCAGATAGGAAAGACATGTTTATGAATGGCTAACATAACGAGGAGCAGCGAATGTATAGCCAACGGGATGGCTACAAATACAGGGTTCGCGATGTGAGCTCCGTATTTGCCGGTATTTTTAGAAGAGAGGGAGGGAGTGGGTTTGGGACTTAGTCGCTACAAAGGACTTTCTTAAGAGGCAAACTCGTAAGAACGTCCAATCTCCGACTAAGTTTATTCCCTGTTCTTGAGTACATTCTGAAGTGAAGTTGGGAATTTAACAAAGGCGTTGAAATCTTTAAGTCCAAAGTTTGATCCACACAGAAAACTGCAGACTGATTAGATGAGAGGAGTAAGTAGAATGAAATATGTACATACGATTAGATATTTGATTATAGATGTGGTTCGTTTTAAATTGTTTAACTTATTTACATGGAAGATTACAGTTTTTTTATGAAGGAGACCTTCAAGAAAGAAGGTGTAAATAGCCGGCTAGCTCAAAAGATTGATTAAACGAAGGAAAAATATTCCTTTCCTCTCTCAAAGAGTGATATATATGTGTCATTAAGCCTCCAAAGCACGTCATTTGATTAATTAATTTTCATCAATTTATCATAAAATCCTTTTTATTTAAAATAGCTTGCAAAATGTAGTTCCATCAAAGACTAATTACCTCATAAAAAATTCACCGATTCTTTATGTTACACTATCTTACGATATATAGTTACATTGATTAGACATATATACGCTGTTCACAGGAGTGTCCTTAGTTTTGATCTGTATTCAGGGGTTGGATCATCTCCGAAAAGCGTCCGCGAACCACTTTTAAATGTCAAATGTAAAACACTTCATCTCTAGACAAGCATTCTCAAGCTCAATGGGTGTCTTGTCTTCATAAGTGAAGCATCTACGTCTCATAAAAAGATACAGCATTGCACTTCTTAGCACATTGTTTTCATGTTCTGCCACATTGAATTTGTCACCGAAGAGCTGCAACAAATGCCGTCACTCTTTCAGAACCAAGCATTTTCACGTAATGAAAGAGCCGAGCGGATTTGACACTAAGCATATGAACTTGTATCATCCTAAACTTCCTTCATAAGATTCCAGTAAACGGACAAGAAAGGAACAGCAATAAAAACGTCGGGAGCGAAGAAAGATGTTCAGCGTAATCGTGCAAGGAGAAATCATGACGGGAGAATCGGGAAGAGACAGATGAAATGGGAAAAAATAGAAAAGTGGAGCGTTCCTCCGCGAGAGCTAGCAAATATCAGGTTTGCTCGTAAAATATCAAGCACCGAGCCATTTAATTTCACATGATTAAGCGAGCAGCTGACATGTGAGAACTCCCACAAGAGCGGAGGTGGTTTCCAATCTTTCGGGGATAAAAAATGACCAACGAACTTGCGCTGCGCGGTGATAAGGAGGAGGAACAGCCCCCATGAGAAGCTGCCACTCACGTTTGTCTTGATGCCACGTTCTTATAAAAGCCGGCGACGGCCATTGGCCGGGAACTCGATGCCACGAGTAGAACGTTACGATTGGCCGAAGCGTCGAAGTTATTGTGAGATCTGGTCCAGTGAGCGGCGTGGATTGCGATCGGCGCTCTGCTGGCAAGGGGTCGGGCGTGAGATGGTCGATTCCGGCGAAGGTTCGGTCTCTCCGTATGGGCCTTCGTACTCCGGACGTGGATCTCGTTCCGACTCGCCGACGACGTAGCCTCCGTTTCGCAGATACTTCAGCGTGCGCTGCTCCCATTGGTGCAGACGCCCGGAGAACGAGTGCCACGTGGTCCGGTGTATACTGCTGGGGTGAGCTGGAGCCTTACTCTGATGATGACGTGGTAATCGAAGCCCGCATATGTCTTGTTCCCGATCTTCCCACACATCGCCAATTGGGCGAAATATGTTGTCCCGACGCGCTGGCGAGACGTTCCTTTCGCATGACGTTTGATTGCTCTTGTGGCGAAGTGGTGCGATGGCATTTTGATGTCATTTCCCGGATGGTGAAATGAAATGAATCGAAGTCTGACCTTCCTTCCTTCCTTCTAGACTCGGTCGTCCTCTCGCTTTGGGACAGCATTTCTTGAGTTAGAATCTCGATGAAAAGAGAATGAACGAAATGAACGACGAATAATTGAATATTTAGAATATATATGGAGATGAATATTTAGATGAACGAAACACAAATACCGAAGTGTTAAAATTTCCCAGTTCTCAACAATGAAAATTTTTTTTAAATAACAAGAATTGGAATACCCATCGAGTTCGTTACAAGGAATAGAATTTATGGGAAACATAGGACTACATCAAAGTTTTCTATAAAGTCTTTACAAATTGAATGGTTAGAAATACACCAGGACTCATTACAGGACCGACTATTGTATTTTTTATTGTTAAGATTAATTCTATAAATTGAAAAAATGCCATATCGACTGAGTTGTCTTTGATTTGTGTATACTTCTTCGTTCGTAAACGTCAGTCAAGAGTACACAGGCGTGAGAGTTCGATGATGACAGCAAAATTTGCGTAACGCAGACGTTCTTCGACTTGAATTCTTTGACGGCAAGTTGGCAAATGAGACATATTCGGGGATAGAATTTCTGCAGCGGGGCTCCCTCGGGAACATCATCATCATTAATATGGACTTTCCAGCGTGATAGAGCTCAACCGGTCGGATCTTGCCAGTGCTCGGAGACCGAGAGAAGACAATCACATGAGGGGAGAATCTGGACGTGTACAACCTTCACATCATGAGGGCAACACGCTGTAAGCACAGAACACAATCCTCAAGGTTCAATTTGGAGTTAAATTGTCTCTTGATGTCTTTGCTGATTGTGTTCTGCCGTTGTCCTTTTTTTAATTATATCCCAAGAGCCCATGCTCAAGGACAGAATGTATGTTCACTCCAGTTACGTGCTCGCCTGAACAGTTGACAATAAAATATACCGGTCTCCACCTCGACAAGAATGGCGAAGTCTTCTGGGAGAATGTAAACTGAAATCGGAACCTAATGAAACAAGAAAAAATCCCCCATATTAAGGGACAATATGTCGACAATAATGGACGCACATCACATCAAGGTTCCACTCGCATGACTCTTATGTGGACGACTCAGCAGGTTTGGAAAATGACATGACATAAATCATGTCATTCGATATAAATGACATGAGTTCATGTTATATTAATTATGTATTCAGGGAAAAAGAAGTTCATTCAGAAAAAAGTTTATCTTCATATCCACGTTTTGACTTCTCAATAAAATTATTTATGATTCGGAATAGTTTTTTTCACATTCTATTTTTGCCTGCTTATTTCGGTGTGGTTGTCAACAGTTATAGTTCTCTTTATTCATGTTTGATTTGTTTGTTCACACCATCGACGGTGCTCAATCAGATCTCAGCACTATACTATACCATATAGAACGGGTCCAAAGACTTATGAACGTCTGTCGAGTATCCGAGTTTGTAAAGACTAGATCTATGGCTTGGAGAGTTCTCATGAGAGGATTGCAGACATTAAAGTATCACAAGTCAGTTCATGGACTGTAGCCATTATAACTGTGAGCAAGATCCATATAATCCAATGGGATCTCACCTGGGAAACTGGTGCGCTCTCTATCTTCCTCCCCAATGCGGAGGAAACTGGAGGGCACCGAGCACAAGGAAACCTACAAACGAGAACATGAAAATCGAGACGACCAAGGAGCTGATCCTCACTATTATGTCCGCATGAGACATGACAACAGATGAAGAAGTAACCGGGACCATGAGAACTGATAAGACACAAATATAGTGCCATGAATGCAAAACGATTCTCACCCGAACAGTATTGTCAGAAAGGCGATCCATAAACACAGGCCATGCATGAATTTCTCGTTACCCTCCCCCTTACATGATTATCAAGATACTGCGTGTCCAGCGTCCCTCATATCTCGTAAAACATGGGCCGAGTTCGCATTCTCGGGCCAACCAATCCGCAAGCCACACCGCACACTACAACAGTATGTCCACCACCGCAAAACGAACAAAAAAGAAACAAAAACTGTTCTCGCCACAGAAAAAGCATCAGCCACAGCAACAGAGGATCAAACACCTATTCCACGTCCCCGGAATATCACCCAATATGAGAGTATTTCAGAAGAAAGAGAAAGAGGACAGACAGAGAGAGAAAGAGAGAGAACCCCAAAAAAAGGGGGCCGAATGGCCGAATCATCTCTCCCCCAGAAAGTGCGCTCGGGGAGGGGTTCTATACCAGCCTCGCCTCTTTGTCCGTTCCTTGCTCCGATGCTGCCCGTCACCCGGTTCGCATCCGGTTCGCAGCCGGTTCCCGGTCAGCAGGGCGGACGCGACGGGAGGCCAAGGCGAGGTCGGTTTACGAGATATGGCGTGAAAAGAAGTCCGAGCTCGCGACGGGAAAGGGTAAAATATCGAGAGGGTAAAAAAGGAAGAAGAAGGAGGAGGAAGAAATACGGGCGGGGCCCCGGGAGTCGGGAGGGGGGAGTACGTAGAGGGAAAATAATTGCCAAATCAGGATACAGGGCAATAAATAAGAGATGGAAAGGGAAATGACCATTTGAGACCACGATTGTAGTTGACCCGGCCCATAAGAATATAATCCTCGACGCGCATTGGCTCCCATGTTTTCGTTCAGCAGACCGCGCGGCCATTGGTCGAGTAGGTGCAATTGGCAGGTTCTTATAACCAATGTGCCGTCGTCATCTAGCTGGAAGGAGGAAAACAGCGGTGAAGTACGAGCCTCGGGTGATGGGCGGGGCCGCTTGTCCTCTTGCTCTGGCAGGCCACACGACAAAAACCTCCTCCCTCGCCTCAGCAGCCACTTCTGCTGCCGACGACGACGACGACGTCGATGGCCTCCCCCTCCCCCTCCTCCTCCTCCTCCTCCCGCAGCGAGAGCGAGCGCGAGCGAGAGCGAGAGCGTGAGGTGAAAGAAGGGAAGGCCGCGAGAGCGATTGGTAGCCAGGCCACGAGACGAGCTCGTTTTTCGTACTCGCTTTTCTCGCGCGCGGGCGGGCCTCCTCTCCCCGTAGAGTAGTAGTGGTAGACTTGGCTGTCGATTCGCGTTGAACGACTGTTGCTGCTGCTGCTGCCGCTGCCGCTGCTCCTGCTCCTGCTCCTGCTGCGGCTCTTGTCGTCGGTCGTCCGTCGCCAATTAGCTTTTTGGAGGCGTGGAACAGAGTGGACGGATTGGCAGGCAGAAGGGAGGGAGGAAGGTAGGGAGGGAAGGAGCGAAGGAGAGAGGGTGTGAGAGAGGGAGGGAGGGATATGATGACCGACATCTGATAATTTCGCTTTGTTGTTCGCGCCTCGTCGCCTCCGGAAGCGATCAGCTCTTTAGATTCAGGGGAGGGATGTCCGAGAGAAATTAAATGTTTGCTTGCTCGCTTTCTAGCGCGCGGCTGTGTGCACATTTTGGTCGGTAATTTCTTGTTTCCGAGCGGAGAATTGTTGGGCGCGGAGGGTGGAATTTGCATTCCAGTCGCACTCCTGACTTCTTATTGCGGAGGCGGTGAGTCCTGTCTGATGATACGCTCGTTTCGGGAAACTCGCGTTGAATTGCAGTGAAGCGGAGGGATACCATTATCGGGGTTACATTGGCTTCTGGAGATTTAGCTGCTGCGAAGTTGAGAATTTTTGCAGACTGCAACTCGGACGCCAATCTGATCTGCAAACTTCTTCGGACTACAAGTTGGGCCCGTGGTATGTGAGAACGCGGTGCTCTGCTTTGATTGTATATTAGGACGTTGGATGGTCGCGTGGGTTTTTGCGGCACAGTGACTTGTGTATAAAGAGTACTGGTCTTCAGTGACGAGCATGCACATGATCAGATAGATGATCATGCATATGCCGATGCTAATCTCCAGGTCCGTTTGGAAAGTGCGGAGTTTACCACTCAAGCGTTAAATTGGTTTAGACGGTGTCGATATTTAGGACGAGAGGAGAGAAGTGGCATCATGATGGGAGGACAAGAAAATGACAGAGCGAAAAGAAGTAGATGGTTGCTATGTGTAGGAAAATATCAGGACAAAAAGATGTTGGACTCGTTACCGTGACCTCAAGGATGTCAGTCTCCTTGATTTGATCATCATATGAAATTGGAGGCAGGATTGCCTCAGCTGGTAGTTCAGTTTCTATCATGTTCAGTCATTTCTATCATTTTACAATTATCATTGCATAGGACGACACTTTTTTCTACTGTGGTGTTCGAGCAGCGGGTTGTGCAGACAGTTATTGAGAACGATGGTATTTTGGAAGATGGAAAAAGATTCCATGTAAAATGTTTTTGATGGTTGAAGAATTTTTTTTTGCCATCAACTTAACATGAGATGATTGTTTTTTGGCAAATGGCAGGACAACGCATAAACGAGGGTCGAGGAGGCTTAGTTATGCTGCTGAAATATGTGCACGGTTTTCTGCAAAGTTAACTGGACAAAGTACGATTAGAATGGTGATCGTCAGTCGTGGTAATTTCAAGGTTTCCATGCGCTGACTTGTCGCAAGACTTGAAAGAATATCGTAACTGGGTGAAATTACCTGAAAGGTGGAAATGTGTTCCGAAGCATCCCTTTCAACTGAATCTATTGGCTCCAATGTGCTGACCACATTTCAAAGTTACTTTTGCGGTGACGCTGATGGACACAGTATTGCAACTATTATCTTGCTAAGGAGGCCAAGTTCATGTGAGCAAGGACTACCGCAGCCCCCCTTGTCAAGTGTGTAACAACATACAAGTTCCGAAGAGTTTGGTCCTGGACATTTCCACATCATTTGAACACTTACTTATCAGTTCCAGTTGGAGCCTGGTGCGGGGGATGGTCTTTGAGGGTGAACGAAGCTTTCGATGGTGGTATTGTAGAGTTTTGTGGAACTAAGCGAGGGGTTCTTGGAAGCTGTATGCCGGGCTCACTGTTTTGTGATCATCCTGCCCCGAATTTGTCAGAGGGTTGGTACGACACGGAGGACTCAATCAGTTATTGGAAACCTAGTCCTACGGTATGTAACATCGTCCTCATCTGTTTTTTCTGACTTGAATTCTTTTTCACATTCTTGGAGAATCCTTATCTATTTTAGTCAAAAATTTTGAGTTGTAGGAGTTTCATAAATTCAATATATGCACACTCCGTCAGACACACATATGACTCCGTCACTTGCTTCAATCTACACATCGATTCCTTCTAATGTCTTTGTTTTTACGCGCTCAGTTCAATGTTTCTTGTTGTTTGAATCTCTCTTTATTTCGTTCTAGCCGTACGCATGCTAACTTCTGTAGTTAAATGCATGAAAGAATTAGAAAAACTCCTTCGTGGAAATCGTTGATAGTGAAATATTTCAACGGCGTGGGATGAGGCTGAGGTGCCTTCACTTTAGGGTTTTGATAATTCCTGCGTTCCTGTAATGTTGAATAGAGTAGTCCTTACCGTATTTCCTTCCTGCCATAAGACTTCAGATCGTGTTTTCCTTTCTTCGTTCTTTCTCACTTGCGATCCATCTTATACGTTGATCTTGTTTGATACATGTTTCGTTGATCTGATCGGTTGTGTGTTTGCTCGCATGTCTGCATAAAGCATTTACTATCTTCTTCTCCATGGAGGTTCTACTTTTGTTACTGACATTTCTCTCTCATTTTTGTATTCCTCTGGGATTGTTACAGCTGAAGCTTGTGTTGAGTTTGTATTCTACTCCTGAACAATACATTATTCCAACTCAAAGGGAGTAGTTGATGAGTCAAAAGAGTTATTCCACTTTTGAGTAGCTCGTTTGGAGTCTATTCAGTCCGTACCTCGTCCATGCGTGGATTGTGACTTGTCCATGCCTTGTTACGAAGCGGGCTGATAGATGGTGAAGAGTGTGCAGTTTGGAGGTGGCGGCGGATGGGCCGTTGAGCCCTCGGAAGACATGTACTCTCATCACGTTCAGAGTTCCTGGATTCCTACTGTCGATGGTAGGAAAAGATTTCATCGCGATGTTACGTTGAAGAGTTCCTCTCCAATCGTTCAGAGAGAGCAGGTGTCAGAAATGACAGGAGGACCTCAACTACAGGATATGTTAGCTCTTCCTCTATCTGGAGGATGGAACGAACAAATGCTATCCGATGTGTTGCATGTTCCTACACAATCTCAGCCATTTGAGGTGAAAAGTCAGCACGTGACGAACAATTCTGAGAGATCAATGCAGTCCGAAGATTTGAATACGGTCATGGCCGACCGTCCAATGAGGATGTACATGGAGCACGATGTTCCGGGATTAGCTGCCCGTTTATTGCTCACAGATGATAACAGCAATGAGGGAGGCAATGTGGTCCATCATAAGATCACGAACGAAGTTTCAAATGATTTCACTCTCGTGAAGGACTGGGATCCTCGGAGCAGTATGACCGATTACCTTGGCGAGAAGGTCTTGAGGTGTGTTTCTTTGGTCCACTTACATGTACTTTGCGTTATGAATTAGCCTACCTTACTCTGGACAATATTTGTTCAACATTACTTGATGTTAGCTGTGGTCCTTGCCATGTTGTTCGTCAAGTTGAATTTTAGGCTAAAATGGCTTTTCGCTATGTTAAGTCTCTTAACGGTTCAATCTCATCATCCCAGGAACCAGAAGAATGTGTATGCAGCAGAGACGAGCAACGCCAATGATCGGAATTTGTGGACGCCATTTCTTCCAGAAGCCAGCGTTCCATCCGCAAGGTCTGTACGTTCTGAAGGAAGACACTCGGAGATTGAAGTGAAGATGGATCAAAGTTGTCACGGGGAGATCCCTAACTTAATTCCTGATAGGAATGGGCACATGCAGGGCATAAGACAGGCGGTGCCTTCTTTAGGTGGTCATGCCGTTCGAATAGGGGAGATCAACCAACATAAAGCTTTTGCGGATTCATCTCAGCTGCCTGGATTTCTCAGGAGGAACGGGTTTTTCGACTCCAAGGTGGGTCATCCATAATAGGACGACTTAACATATCAAATTTTTTGCCCATGAATTTATAGTGCAGCTTATAAAACTGCTTTCTGTCCTTCACCCATGAATGAGGACTTAATTGGTACTTCAACACTTCCGTTTCTTCCTACGTACTTGCACGAAACCTTTGTTCCATTTTCTACTAGATGTTTACTATCTAGAGTCACTAAACCCGACAGTGATTGCATATTTCGGCACGGTAGTAGGCATAAGAGACGGCTCACTATCACTGAGATACGGTTAGCGCTCGGTTTTTTTTTTTTAAGTCTGTCTACAATTTTCGACCGTGTTACTCAGCTTTCCTTAGTGGACAGCATTCAGACGCGAAGGCCATACTGGCTACTACTCACCATGTTGACATTACTATCCTTGACACAGAGTTCGTTTAGCCTCGTGTGCATTCACTTTCCTGATTAAATATACTGGTTGCCCTTGAGAGGGCCACACCCTTGATTATATGTAATCTTCCTCTACCTGTTCTCTGTGCTTCATGGTTCAACGGATTTCAAGCTCTATTTCTGAATGTCTTTGCAGTCTCCTCTTTTGTCCAGCATCAATTTTCTACAAGATGAGAGTATGCAAACTGCGACGTTTCTGTCGGAAGCAGGCTTGTTAACCTCCGAGACACAGGTATATATCTTCGAAGAACAATTCAGATTTTGTGTGATGTTCACTGCAAAGTTTTCAATCGTTGTTTGATTCTTGATGGTTTGAGCATCTGTTCATACTGTTGACCCGTACAATCAAGTTCAATAGTTGAATTGTTGGTATCTTCTTTGCATCATGTATTGAGGCTGTCGGTACGTGATATGCGCTTTGGCTCTTTCGTATATGTGAACACCTTTGGATGGTGACAAGTATTGGAAGTACTTGCTTAATCTGTGAGGCAACGATTTGGAATTTGATCGGAAACTTTGTCTTCTTTGCAGAATTCTCAGAACTCTAAGATCCCATTTCATACTGGAACAGAGCTGGGCAATTTTACGGGGAGGAGTGTAGAAACACTTTCAACTCCTCGTGCAGTTGCTGTATCTGCCATTCAGCCTGAGGAGCTCTCTTTGCAAGTGCCAACAGCTTCCCCTTTAAGTATGCTTCCAACGGCTACCAAATTTAACTTGTTTGGTGGATCAAATCAATCATCACAAGTGCCTCGTGTCCCGCTACATCTAACTCCATCTTTGCAACATCCTCCACAGCCGATGGAACAGATGGTAGGAGTCCAACAATCCTTCAGAATCTCAAGTCCGATTCAAAATGGCTGCTTGCCTCCGAGTCCCGGTTTCCAAGAAAATTTGCAGACTAAGCTGATCAGTGACATTGGGCAAAGCAGAGAGGAACAACTGCATAATAGTAGCTGGCAACACGTTATTAGTGGTTTGGATCAAGGAGCCGTCTATAAGCAGCCACAGCAAAGTCTGTCTCAGGGATTACCACCCGATCTGGATATCCATGGTGGGAGCTTTGATGGAAATGGCGTCCCACCAGACTGGATTTCTAATGAGGCTCTAGTGATACAGCAGCTCCAGGCAACCATGCTACAGGTACGGCCTTCAACTTGAATAAACCGTTCTATGAAGAGTACGTGGTAAACGGTTCCAAGATCTGTGACATTTCAGGTGTAGCTTCTGATTTTTATTTTTTTTTAACTTATACTTGATATCAGGTGACGTCCTTAAGAATGTCTCCATCAAATATGATTCTTACGTTCTCTGTGTTTAACAGTTGGATGTAGGAACAAGAATGTGCATCCGAGATGCATTGTACAGGTTGGCCAAAAGTGCGAAAGAAAGGAGAAGCTGTAGAACACACAATGGACACCGGGATCTGGCCGAAGCAGACAATGCGACTGTCAGTTCTTCTATCACTGGAGATGAACCTTGTGACGATTCCAGGTAAGACAATATCCTTCCTCCTACTTTGCGTTCAGTTCAGTTGATGCTGTAAATGTGGATTGGGGCTCCGACCACGAAGTTGTTTCTTATAAGAGTGCCAAATTTTACTTGTGTTTGTACAGGTGCGAGTCTGAGAAACAAACCAATCACGTAGATAGGTCTATAGCAAGTCTGCTATTCAATACAGGACCCGTTTTAAAGTATGGGCTGCCGCCAGCTTACAAATTCCGGTCAGTTTCGCAGCCTCAATCCGGCGTTCAAACCGGTCCTTGGCTGTGGCCGTCAACATGTGTGATAGGCAACAATTGTGCGTCCTCTTCTGGAAAGTACGCCGAATCTCCTGGAGCAGCTAAGGTACTGTCTGGTGACCACTTGAACAACCATTGGGCTGCCTTGCTTCTAGTAACTGGTTTCAGAGCTCCAAATGAAGCTGCGATTGGCTCTCGCGTGGATCAGGATAGCTACTTGCGCGTCGAGAAGTCAGTGTCTCCTGATAACTACCAACGTCTTGAGATGCAAGCAGACAGGTTGAACATGCCTCTCTCGTCTGCCATGCGATCTTCTGCCCTTGTCTCAGGTAATGAGACCATGAAGTTTGACAGTTCAGCTGCTCCTTCTCGATGTTCTATGATCCCTGAAGGTATGAGACAGGAAGGAGATGCGAGAGGACAGGAACTTAGAGAAGTAGGCTCAAAACGAGACCAGGGATTTGTAGGTGGATCTAGTTTAGTCGATGTTAACTACCAATCTGCAGTGATGAGTTACAGAGAAGATGTGGGTAATGAAGTAGCGGCAGTTGCCCCTAGTTTGCAGGAAGAAGGTAGAGTTGAAAACATATTCTTTGACGGAGGGAACTTTCAGTCCAAATTTTCTTCAGAAAGTGGATCCGGTCAGTTCGCAAATGCAGATGGATTTGCCCACATGACCGCGAGGAACGGATGCCACATGTTTGGCGGTGATATGAATAGCTTAAGAGCGCCTCACAGGAATCAACTTTCTGGAAAGGAGGAACTGGACATGGAGGGACTGTGGCATACTTAGTTAGAACCCTCCGGGAACTTTCTCTTCATTGACAAGTCAAATAGTTCCCGGTTATCATTTAAACCTCTTCTCTATCATCTATCGAAGTTGACGACCTTAGGCCTCAATCCCCATAGCCTGCTTCCGGCTCAAGAAGGTTTTCTGAGTTAAATCCTCTTCATAGTACTGACTTGTGTCACCTCAGTGGTTGAAGCACTGCACTTTGCACCAGAGTTATAGTCGAAGAGTCGAAGCCTCAAGCCCCTTCCGAGCTCATTTTTTAATTAAGAGTGGAACCCACAAACCTTCTGACGTCGTGTGGGAACATGGAAAGATACTGAAGATAAAACCTTACAACAGGATTCTGTAGACATAAGGAGGTAATGCAGAGGTACTCGTGCTTCACAAGTAGTAGCATCTGTACATTAAGCAGGTAGAAATTACATGTTGTATGAGGGTCTAATGCAATTATATTGAATATGAAGTTGGCAATTGCTCTCCGAAAGATGGAGATTATCTGTTTAAGGCGCCTGTTCACATGAAATCGTCTGTAGCATGGTGGATTGTTTGCTGGGGCTTCATCAATCCATGCTGCACCGGTCTATATATTCGTTCCCCTTTGTTCGAAGGTCAAACCAGTGGTTGTGCAATGTTACCTCTATTTCCTTCTCTTAGACATGAGAATTATGTCTAAGAGATCTATGTCATTATGCGTTGATCATGGAAAGTCTGAACGTGAAGTTGAAACCCACATTCCTGCCCCCTCTCTTTCCCCATTTTCCAGTCAACCCTGCTTACTCCAAAGCTCAACCCAGATTCCTGCCCCCTCTCTTTCCCCAATTTCTAGTCAACCCTGCTTACTCCAAAGCTCAACGTCCTCCACGATGATGCGTGGTGATATCAGGAAGCGGCCTTGGTAACAATCCTGGCTCACCTAGTCCTGATGAGCCGCGGCTAATAACAATGTCTCATCTCGAAAATGATGGGTCACAGGGTCTTCACAAGACTAGGGCACAGCCAAGACATCCAGGTGAGGGATCAAATACCACATTTTTGGGTTGACCCAATGCACACAAGTCAGTCATCAAGAGAATCTGAACTGCTCTAGATAGCATGGCATATGGTTCTGAAAAGGCTCTATAGATGTGGATAGCTTGCCGCAAATATACTTTTGTATGATTGCGTCATGGGAGACTAGGGCATACCCCTTGGGACACCCGTCTTTGTCCCACCAACCATCTTTTGAATGTTTTCGTTCCCAAGAGATAAGATACTGTGCATGATAGCAATAGATAGCAGTTAAAGTTTGAACTTTCGCCAGTGATAAGAAAATGTACAGTAATCACACAGTTTGTACTTTTTATTTATTTTTTGTCAGTACAAAATGTAGAATTTATTTTCCATAGTATATTGTGATCAGAGCTCTTTTTTGCATGACATCCGTGGTACATAAGTATACTAAGTTCATTTCTGATCTTGCATGTGAAAATCTTATTCTTTTTTGGTGGAACACCTTTGAATAGTCTTCACCAAATTCAAAGGCCTTGTAGGTGTGCGCAATCATAACTAAATGTTGATTTTTCTCACTCTATGTTTTCTTTATCATATTTTTGGTAAATATGTCGAAGTGCACGTAGAGTCTGAATAACATTCACTTTCTGATGTTACTTGACTTCAATACAAGGTAATTTTCATTTGAGTTTTAATTTTTTAAGTGATAATGTAATGAAAATGTTATCACGAAAATTGATAAATGGATTCAGGTCATATTTGGAAATAAAGAAAGTAACAAGTCTAACGAACTCGATATTCATATACTTCAGCATTCCATTCGATTGATAAAATGAGTAATTATTTGAATTTTTTTTAACAATTTTAATTGAAAATAATATGTAGTTTATTTTTTACTTTTTGGAAATAAAAGAATTTACATAATATCTAAAAGACTACAAGATAATCATAATCTGATTATTAGTATATAATTTTAAGTGGCATAATAAACTGATTGCAGTATAAGGAACAAAAATTTATTCAATCTGTTTAAATGTTGAGAACTTAAATATATATAACATGACGAGACAGTAAGAAATTTTGTTACTCACATAAAACTCGAATTATGCAAAGTAAAATTTGGTTGTTATTCATTGTACCTTTCACTTTCTTAAATTAAGTGCATGTATCTCAAAAAATGAATACATAAACATGTATTCATTTTTTTTAAAGAGATACATCTTCAATTCCAGATTAATGTGAACACGTAGTCATATTCATATAAAAAAAATTTTAATTAATTTCTAACATAGAACTTTATATATCTTCTTAAAAAATTATATTATGAATTCTAATAGCAGAAATGATCAAATGTTTTTGTAGTACAACATGTTTTGAATGTCTAATGCGCAAAAAATTTAATTTTCAATACAAAAAAGTATTAGGTATGAGAATTATTAGACTAAAATGACTTTATTCCAATTATTTTGTGATCATAACTATTTTTCTTTCCTTTGTGTGTTGTTATGTCTGAAAAAAATCCTTGCATGCTTGACTTTGCATTGAACAACAATATCATTAGTGTGTATAATTGATAGATAAAAGAAGCAAAGATTTGTATCATGAGTATTTTTAAAAAAATTAGTCATCTAAATAATGTAATATTATTGAATCTCAATGGAAAATTTGTCGCTATTATAACTTCTACTAATCAATTACAAGATAATTGTTCACAAAATTTGAAGTGCACAATGACGACCAAATTTGCATCTTGAATGATAATATGTGAAGATAATTTTCCCAAAAAATTAAAATTTTTTACCCATTGTAAAAATTTTCAACATTACACATTGTAATGTCTGATTTTAAAGTCTGAAGTTTTTTCTTTTAACAACAAACATTTGAAATATATTAACTTCAACAAGTATAAATATAATTATAATAAAATTACAATATTTGATTTAAAAGCAAGTGGTTGAGTTTGAAAACACTTCATTTACCTTTAGGTTTTTTAAGACATTTTTTTATATTATTAAAATTATTTTATTGCTTGGAAAATAAATTATAATATGATTATGACATCTCTTTCATCTTTTTTATCCGATACAACATTGAATAAACCTATTAGATTATCATTTACATAAAATAACAAGGATTCTAAATTAAAAAATAAACCAAAGTGTAAAATTACATTTGAGTTTTGATAAAAAAAAATTGATTTCTAAAAACTATATCAAGATTGATCATTTCAAAAAGTAAGTGTTACGTGAAAACCAAGTCTATTTGTAGTTTGAGATTTCTACTGTCTAAACCTTAGGGAGTAGCAAGAAGGCCAGAAATTCATGGAAGTTCATTCAAATATATTTGTTCTTGTCATCTTATATTCAAAGTAAGGAGGCCAAAAAATTAATGTATCCGGATATTACATAGTAAGTATGCAAGACGTTTGTTGATGAATATGATTAAAAATTTGATAATAAAAAACATCATTTGCTCAACGTATGAAGATTGCATGTATGTTTTGAATAATCTGTCAAAATATTATGATAATGCATAATTAAATGATAGCGCTTGTTTTTTCCAACTTTGCTTTAATAGAAGTTTGATACATTTGCAGAATTAAAGTGTTCAATCCTAATAAAAAATGATAAATTTTGTAGATTGGAAGTATAATATATAATAAAATCTAAATTTTTGATTAAAGAAAACAAGAATTTACTTCAGAAGAATTTATATTTAATATTTAAAATAATTTATCTAGTCAAAATGTAAATATAAAAATATTCTTATTTAAAAAAAAAATCCTTGAACTTTGAATAGATGTTAAAATGACTATGACATAATATCAATTTGTAAATTTCTATATGTTAAAATGACATGTTATCAATGTGAAGTCTATCTAGGTGAGTTTTAACCTAACTTGGTTCATACATGATATTAAAAATATAAGAAATATATATTTGATATTTTGAATTCATGTAGCTTGATTTAAGTAAAATTAATCAAAAATTAGATAAGTATATTTTTGCAAATTGAAATCATAAATTATTATGATACATTTACTAGATTGTTGTATGCAACCTTCACAATAGATAAAAGAATATTCCATTCTTATTGCTCCTTCAATGTAAATGTCTGAAACATATTGTCTACAATTTTATTGGCTCTCTCTATTTGATTGTAAGTTTGAGTATGATAAGCTGTTGATAATACTAGTTTTGTTTTGAAAAAAATAAACAGATTTTTTTAAAACAAACTACACCGAGTACAGTAATTACTTTGGATCGGCAAATAGTTTGGATTCATAAATAGTCTGGTCCAGACTAATACATGTTTGTATCAGTAATATAAATCACATGAGTGACGGGTAGCACTTACCTATTGTACTCCAAATTGCGCACCACGCGTATTTCGCACTTAAGGGTTTAGTTCAATGTTACACCTGCCCTGGCGGTTTTTTTCGCTTTTCACTCTTTTCACGATGTTGCGTTTTTCGTCCTCTCCTTTTATAGCTGGTTTCGCTCGCTCTCAAGCCTCTCGGGACAAGATCGTTAATCCGGAAGAAGGTGCAGTTTATCAGGAAGAAGTCGTTGATCAGAAAGAGATTGTGGAAGAAGTTCATCACGAGCAATTCTCTTCAGGCAGACACGCAGCGAAAAAGAAAGCTATAGCAAGTGGTCTCTATTGGGAGTCGTCGTGTGGTAGTTCGTTGGATGATGCAAGAATGTGATTCCAAAGGCAAGAAGGATCTTTTTGCCAAAGCAGCGGCAAACTTTCCGCATATTTTCCGTGGATCCTACAAGGCAAATATCCAAAAAGCTTCGTCATGGTGGAAACTAAAAGACCAATACTCAGAGTCTAGTGAGCATCCCAAATCTTTGCAGAGAAATCAACAGTTCAAGGCTACGAGATTGAATTTCAAAGCTGTGGCAGGTCGTGGCCGTAAGACAAAGATTGGATGGCTCATGTGTATGTAAAACTCAATGAGGAGTTCCACCGACTACGAAAAACGGGGCTAAAATTCTCATCTGCCTTGCTTGGCACTTTGGCTAAATACATTATCAAATCAAATGATGGAGAATTCAATGCGGATTTCAGAGATGTAGACGGCAAACTGATTTACAACAAGGTGGGTTCAAACATTCAAAGCGAAACACAACATGGTCGTTTGCGCTCAAACAAGAAAGTTGTTATGTAGTCCAGAAAAAGAACTTCATGTTGAGAAGACCATCGCGTACCACTTGGGCAAACTATTTAGAGGATTTTCATCTGGCGAGTTGGATGAAAACCTAATCGAAAATATGAGCGAGACTCTTTTTGTGATGAATGTTGACAATGGTCCGACCCTAGAAATTTGGGGAGACAACGATGTCAAATACGCTGATGTTGTTTTCGGAGGAGAGAGTATGACCATGATGGTCCGCATTACAGTGGTAGTATCCTCACATATAGAGGCATAGATGATCATCTTCACGAAAAAGAATAGATCCCATCCGATTCAGAGTTTATCAAATGATGTGCAAGATGCAAGCTAT